TTTTACTCAGGGAAGTAGTTGAGGCTGTCCCCATGCGTAGATCAGACGGTCAAACGTTTACGTTATGTCAAACAGTCGCTATTTCATGGAAGCCACGCTTCTGAACAATGACAGATGTTAATTTACTATCCGAGGATTGCATAATATGCCCAATGATTAACCGCAGACGTAGGTATTGTAGCCGGTCACGCGGAGAGAGGCATGCAGGGAGAGCGATCACACTGTGCGCGAGCAGCTGTCAAATAGGCCACGTAAGAGATGCTGATCTTTTAGAAAAAAAAAATCAATATGAAAGGGACTTCCCCAGCCAAGATCGAAGCACCTGAACTCGAGTCATAAGCTATCTCGGGCCACTCAAACATCTTTTTATATTGTTTGATAAAAAAGACCTGCTTAGCAACCTGCTCCCAGCAAACATTTCCAAATAACTTGGAGAAAGAGCCTGGATGAAACCATACGCCAAATTGAGATTGGATGTTGCTCTATCACTTTTAATCTATATGTTATTTCTTTACGATAGGAAACCATGTATAAAATGCCGCATACCCCAACAAGCTCCACGCGAAGCCACTCCAGCATTAAGCTACGAACGACCACATCAAGTACCCTCCCCGTCCCCGATCGTAGACAGTCCATAAGAAACGCGTGGTGTTATGTGAGTCGGCCACATGCGCTATCCGCCTCATCACGTTATCAGATGGTGTCACATTACACGTCGATTACAGAGACGCACACGGTAGTAGGACACTGGGTCGGGCCATGTGCGTTAGTGGTATTTAATGAAATCGGTAGTACACGACAGGGGATTTCATTGCCAATCGCATACACGATAGCCTTATGGTGGTTATAAGTTTAAACGTTCCAATGTCAACTAAAAGTCACAATCTTCTGAATGCCGATCACTTCACGATCAATTAAACAGTGATTCAGTTCGATTTTTTGCGCAGCTATTCACTGAAATCAAATACTTGCTGACGTCACCAGCTAAATAACATCCACTTTTTAGTACCTAATTTGTCATTACAGAAACCTTGCCATGAATGTCACAATACCATCGGAGCTTTGCAGACGACACGTCGACACACTATGAAACAGACAGGGTTCTGGTACCAACTTCAAAGTAAGAAGCGTCTGTGTGTTACTGCCGTTCTGGGCGGCATTGCGCAAAGTTTGCCAAACTGCCGTCAAACTGCCAACCAACCATTGTCCAAACGACTCCGTTTTCGGAAGATGCCTCTGCCATACTTTCAGACCTGGCGAGTGTCTAACTAAAACTTAATTAAAGAAGGTGCCTCCCAACATTCAAATGTCACCTCCTATGTGGACCAATCGCCACAACGCACCCAGACATTTGCCGAAGAAATACCCTGGCACACTTGACTGTTGGACGGCTGCCGCAAGAATATGGCGTGTGTCAACAATCGGCAAACGCTCAATGGCATATACGCAGCATAAGCGGCGAGTTTCGCAATACCTGGAAGCAGATGGCGTTTTGCCCTGTACTTTGCCACATCACTGTTAGTATGATAATGATGAAGATTTTGAGTTTTGGACAGCACGGAATGCCAGTGTCACTGGGTGAATGCAGTCCAGGATAGCCGGCAGGCCGCGTCGGTGACAGCGTCCCCGACCCACCCGGTCCTTTGGCAGCGGCGTCACAGAGTGCCACAACCCTTAGCAGCGGCCACCCGGACCACCTTAGTCCTTTGGTAGCGGCGTCTCAGCCGGCAATTATCACCAGAACACGGGGTGGGCGTCTTTGAGGGACAGCGGGCGTCGGAGGGAGCGGGAGCGACCCCATCTGAGAGCCGAGGGGAGGTGCCTCAGGGAGCGGGCCCGGAGAGGCCGCATCGGTCCGCGAGCGGGGCATAGCATATCTACTCACGTTTGGTGTTTGGCCGGCGTCCGGATAGTGGTACGTCTCAATCGTGATGTGAAAATTGTCCTTCATGTAACCCGGGTTCTGAAAAAACCGCAACATTATCAACTATGGTAACTGCGTCATTTACGATGCGATAATGTGGCGCAATCATAATTACGATCAAGTACGTTTGGAGATCCTACGACAATAATAAACTTTAGAGATTTCTTTGATAGGTATGAAAAAGATATACAATGCGATGCTCATTATCTGGAAGAATGTGAGCCTAAAAACCTGTAGGCTTCATGACAAAATCTGAACATGACAAAATCTCCATCAGCAGGGCATATTTTAACAAATTTTTACTGCGTCCCAAAGTTGAGCAGAGGGCACGTGCTACGACTAAGGGCACAGGGCAAGGAACAGAGTAGGGCACTGAGGAGGGCAGAAAGTAGGGCACGGCAGGTTACAGGGCATGGCACAGGACATTTTAGAGGGAAGGGTACAGGTCAGGGTAGACAGGAGGGCACAGGTCAGGGAACCGGACAGGGCACAGGGCAGGGACACAGTGGGTCAAATCAGCAGGGGCTACGTCCCAAGGCGAGGGGGCTGCGTCCCAAAATGGGACGCAGTAAGTGCCTTAAAATATGCCCTGTCCATCAGCAAATAAGATCGAATAATTCAATGTTAGAGCACCTACCGTCAGTACAGTTTTGCAGTAGGGGTAGGCATTCCATGCCTCTTCATGGATCTCAAGTGACCCCTTGGGTGCCAGCAGCCGGATGAAGCTGGGGACTTTGCTGAAAAGACAAAACATTTGAGGATGAATGACAACAGCCAAGAGGCTTTTACAACTTGGAAACCAAAAATATACAAAATGAACTGCAAACAAGGAAAAGGGCTTTCAGACATATCAATATCACTATTTCTGGGCATAGAAGAGACATGCCTAAGAAAAATATAAAATAAAACAAAATATATGCAATGCATGAATGATGGTAACATAATTCAAAACTCACCTAGCTAAGTGGTAGATTTTGTACGTATATTGACCCTTTGTGAACTTTCCTCCCAGGAGTGGCACATTGTCATAGGGTTCATTTTTCAACACCTCAATGCCCTCACCACCACCTGTTTCATTTTTGCTTGCTTGTGCTACTGAGTACAGTTGTCCAACTTGGTACTGAAATGAGACACATGCTGTCAGATCTACATATGCCTGAGCCATAGGTTCGCCATAGACCATCCAGAATGTGACTGCTCAACTTTCATTCATCCCATGAGATGAGAGATGACCAATTAAAGCTTAATACAAGCTTTTTATGCAAACAAAATGTTAAGAAGGCTACATATGCAAAGGCTACATATGTAAAAACCTCATCAAATGTCTTAAGAAATCCTCCTTGAATGGACCTTTATTTGTATCTCAGGAAATCCCATGCATAGAGAGCTTTTGAGTTAAATACAAGTGTCAAACACAAAACAAGTCACATAAAATCAATCTACATCTCAGTCCTCACCTCTTCCACTGTGAGTGGCAGCACGACTCGGCTGAAACAAAACACCTTGTGTTAACAGCTATTATAGAAACCACAAAAAAACTCCAGAGAGCATAAGGATAGAATCACAGCAAGAACAGTGGAGGTGCCACAAATTCAGTGGGTTCCCAGCCATTCAAATTTATCTATAATATGATTTTTTTTAATTATAACTTCAGGCTTTAATTTATTTCATCGTATGAACTAGCTATGGCCTATACGTGCCAGTCCAAAGGTACACTCTGGGGCAGATTGATGTTCCATCACTTCCTACCCATCGGGCTCCCATGGCTCAGCACTGGCTGCTGCCAGTGGCAGCACTGGCAGCACTGGCACTGGCAGGCAGTGCTGAGCAGTGCTGAGAGCAGGCAACACTGACAGCAGCCAGTGCTGAACCATGGGAGGCAGGAGCCCGACGGGTAGGGAGTGGTGGAACAGCAATCTGCCCCCGAGTGTACCGCTACCAGCATTTATTTTTCGCCAGACCACTAACTGAAATAGGTAGATAATACTGAATGTACTACTTGCGGTTAAGTAGTATTCAAAAAAGAGAGCATGAAAATTACAAAAAATCAACATAACCTCACAACTACTCATCAATAGACGTTTAAGACGCAACGACGATATCGAGAAATGTGGCAAGCATAGCACAGCAAACCGTTGGAAATGAATTATATGTTATTTTTTGAAGCACTTACTATTCCTTGATGAGCATTCCGAATTTATTAACGGTGAATAAATTATCTAAATCCCTGTAACCCTCCCACACATAAGCACAAATCACGGTACATAGAATACTAGGTAACACCGGTTTGTCCGCTCAACACAGGGCCAATGGTCACCACTTTCTTCAGCTGACGTCTGTGACCTTGAGCTGACCTAGGATGATAAACAGCTGACAATTTAGGCCATTTGGAGCTCACTTGACAGCTGAAGAGCGTGATTTAAAATATAAATATTTGTCAGGCACTGACAAAACATATTATTCACCAGTCATTTTTTAAGCACATTCTGTCATAAATTAGTTGACTCCCTCTGGTCTTCCACACGGCAGAAAATGCAAGTGCAAATTCTGCCGTCTTGAAGTGAGCCAAACGCTTATGATACACATGATCGTTTCTCTCAAATCACAACGGAAACTGCGAGAAAACAAGAGAGAGTCGGACTCTACAAATGAATGAATTTGGAAGAAAAATAGCTGTATTTTTCCCTGTGGAAATGTTGACTTTGAAAAGATTGGCCATCAACTTTAAAATTGCCCCCAAATATGAAAATGTGTGAATTGACAAAACAGGCAATCTTGCTGTTTTTGCCCATGTTTGTTCATGATTGAGAGAGATTCGATGCGAAAATGCACTGATATATACTTTTGAAAGCGAGGTCTCGATCAGTGTATTAATTTTGATTTTTAACTTAACGCTAGTCCCACTTTTCCCTCCAAGAAAATATATTTGTCAATTTTTCAATAATCATATTATGCGTCATTGCTTTAAAAATAAAGAGAGTCGGACCGTAATTCTTTCAAAATGACTGATCGTGCTCAATATCTATCGGAATATATTAACAGATTGGCCAGACTCATTGGCTAAATATGTTTAAATTGCATTTTTCTTACTTTCTGCAGAATTTCCTGCAAAATTTTACTGTAGTTTAAGCTGCGTTTCCTGCAGATTGTGTTCACAGACCAATGGGAGACAAGTATTTCTTCATCAACAGGTTTATTCGCCATCAATTGGTCTAGCTGGTGTTTTTCGTATGCGCAGCTTATGTCACAGCTGCGTAAGAACACGTTCGCCTTAAATCATGATGGGTATTTCTTTTCGGAATATCAAAGGTCAATGTTGATGTGTTTCATAAGATTTGTGGTGGCGGGATTATCGTCATTAACTAATTACTTGATATCAGATTTTAATGGGGAGTGGTGTAATTCCCGCACGACTGTTGACTTTCATTGTAATTGCCTGAGCTGGTTCCTGGGCCGCCTCAGATAGCAGGATGGTGTGTCAAGTATCAACTTGACAGGAAGGTGGGTACCCAGACACTGAAATTTCTGTGTAATTTGCGCCAAAAATTAGGTACCTATTTGTGCAAAAATTAAACCCTTTTTATATAAAGCACATGTGCACATCTACCGATCAAGGCTATGGCGTTTGCCGCCATGCGCCGAATTCGGCGCATGCGAAGTTACCTACGCCTGACATGCGCTGAAATTTTCGGCGCAATCCCGCCACTATGCCGGACATATTAGGCATAACTTGTATTATTTCCAGTCTGGTACAAAACAAAAATCAAACCTTACCTAACCCCATGTTGCATGTTCATATGAACTGTAGATCAGATATTTTTTTTTGAAAAAATGCCCATCTTTCATCCTTTCAGCATACCTACAACCTACTAAACAGCCTTGGTATCAACCTAGCATTCATACTTTATCTGCACATACATATTGATATATGTGGTATGTTTTGTCCAGTAGGTTATATGTAGTAGGTCAGCGGTCAGGTGCCTACATGCTATCATTTGTCATGCTTTGATTTCAGATGGTGTCTTGTGGGCTTTATAGTGGGCTTTGTGGCCCTCGTGCAAGGGTTAAGTGTTGATGCACATAATGCAATGTGTTTTTCCATGGGCATAGGAACCTCACGTAAAGTTTGGGGGGGGCAGAGAACTTCAATGTCACTTTGTGGGAACTGTAATACCCCTATGAACAAATTCTTTGCAGTTTCGTGCTCATCTCACCTTGCCGAACCATTTCTTGCTCTTAGTTTTGAATTTAAATGAAAAATAAATATTTTACTTTAAAAATTAGCATAGCTGAAAAGTGGGGGCATGCCCCCCCCCTCCGCTCCTACGCCTATGGTTTTTCTTAATGGTACAAATCATCCACATTCATATGTGAAGGGTAGGTAGCTACCTACAGAACCAAATCAATGCCTCAATTGCTCATTGTTTTCTGACAATAAGTCCCTCCTGTGCCAATCGCACTTAAGTATCTACTGTCACAATGCAGTGTGCGTCATGATTTCTCAACTCTATGCTTACAATATATTTCCATTTGTCAATCACATATTGCTTTTTTTACAGGCTTTCCGGTTATGACTGAGGCCGGCATCTCACCTGTCCTGGCTACGCCAAATCACTGCGGATGCCGGATGCCGAGGACCGGAGAGCCAACCGCTTTGAGGCGTGAGCTCTGTGGCGTGGCTCGAGTGACGGCTACGGCGCCGTCGACCTGGTTGAATAGCTGGGGCCTGGACGAGGGTGCCCTTAGTACGGTGGCCAATCGGTTACGTCCGAGGGGCGCTCGAACACGCTGCCGTCGCGTGGCTGCCGGCGGCCGCCCCCTCGCACGTGAATCTTCTGGAGCGAGGACTGCGAGAGGTGGCCGCATCATCACCTGTGTCCGCGCTCAACACCGTGCCACGCACTAATGGCGGAAGCCCGACTTTCTCCGATGGAGGAGAGAAGCTGGACGCTGGCTGCCAGGCTGCTGGGGAGGGCGCTGGCTCTGCCATCAGGGGACCCCCTGCGCGCGACCGCCAAGGCCTCGGCACCGGCGCGCCTGTCTTCGGTCCGAGGCTGGAGATTGCGAGGCCGCCAGGCTTGGGCGAGAGCGAGAATCCCACCGTGCCAACAGACGGCTGGCGTCACCTTCCGGTTGGACGTGTGCCCGATCCGGGCTGGGGCCACGGCGGCGGAAAGGGAAAGCGTGGCTACGCTGCACCTCGCGTTCCTGCCCCCTGTGTGCTGTCCGGCTTTGGACGGACGGATCTGCGGAGGGCGGAGTCTTCAGGTGCTGGGCGGGAGCCGTGCTGGTCTGGCTGTATTTGTATTTGTATTTGTATTTACATTTAAGAGCGATCCACATACAAAGTGCGTGGCGATTACTGCTCAGAATCCGTATCCGCGGCTGCTGATCTAATCATTCAAAACATTTGCACATTCACTCACGTCAAAACAAGGACAAGGCTGGACGAAGAGGCCGAGGAACTGCGGGCCCCGGCCGGAGAGCTGTGCTTTAGCTACCGCGCGGAGATGGTGGCGCTGGTGACCGGTCCGGAGACCCTACTCGGAAGAGACAGAGACCAGGACCTGCGTTCCGTACCTATCTGCTAACTGTGCGGTGGTGCTGGTGTAGTGCATCATTTTTGGATGGATAGCTACATTTCACGATTAAATAGCTGGTACGTTTCAGTGCAGGTGGCGTGACGAACAATGTGGTAGTTATCTGTTGGCCACTTCTGCGGCCGCTGCTATTTCCTACTCGAAGGCGGGCGCGCTGTTTGGCTGGGCCGCCAGGATGTTCCCATTATGTGTCGACGACAAAGCGAGTGTATTCGTGTTCTTTTAATGCACAGAGGTCTGTTGTTGTATATTTGAAGTTTTATTTTAAGTTGGCGATTGCGAAGGGCAGATTCATCTTCTCTCTTTCATTTGTGTTGCCACTTTATCGTTCATGTTTGTTATAAGTGTCCATGCGGCTTGGTTGTCATCTTTATTCCTGATGTATTTTATTTTACGAACATGCTGGTGATCAATGCAATACACTTTTGGTTAATAATGCTGCTTTAGCTCTGATCCTTTGTGGTATGTCTTGACTGTACTACTGCGATAGCGATTTTTCCTCACCAAAATATGCAGGCAACCAATGTAAATGCTGCCAAAAGTTTGTCATTACGTGATGTATCTAAAAAACATCGAGTTCCTGAACGTGGTCGTGTACTACGTAACCGGAAACTCAATAGGACGCATAATTCTGTGAAGCAAAACTACAGAAGTGAGGCTGGCCACGCCAAAATCAAGTGAGATATGTCTAGCCTTTCTTCAGCCGCCAAGGCTTCGATAGACTATCCCCGGGTTCGGTGTCTCTCGAACTACGAAGATTTAACGTCGTCCGGCCAATCCTGGTTAAGGTCAGCGGGGATTTAGCTGTGGTTATGGAACAGGATTGGCCATCCGAGAGACTCCGAACCTGGGGTATGTTGCAGCACAGCTATGTCGACCGAGTGTCGTCGCAAGCTGCACCACTAGACGAGAACAAATAAAACCGTCCCGTCCTAGGCTGACTAGGCTTAGCTAGGTGGCAGCACAGTCGCGCCGGCAGGGGGCAGTGCCACAACCAGCCGACTGATATTTTCGTGTGACGTCAGAACCGGTGCCTCCCTGGCACAAATCCACAACGCTTTCCACGATACGATAAACACGCCCCACGTATTTCGCTGATGACTCAGAATATCCCATGCTTACAAATGACGTATATTAATTTTAAGGAAAAAAGTTTTCGTTCTTATATCTGTGAGTAAGTCTTTGCTACAATGAACTTCATAGATTTTGATATTTTTTTAGCATCAAAGTCTTTTAATGGTTTTTCAATTGTGAAATTTAAATATGAAAAATAAAAGTATCATATTTACGTCATCACTCAAATACAAAAAGTTTCTGTTTCATAAATGACGCTAAAAGACAGACAGCGCAAAAACCAACTAATGTTCAAAATTGATTGCTGCTCGGTAAATTAGCCGTTCTGTCTCGTTCTCCTGAAACAGAAGTGACCAATCAAAACCTGCTAAGGAAAAAAAGAGACGAATACCAGGGTGCGTTGAACATATTTTTCAAGGTATATGTATTGTATGCCATTATATACTAATTAGAAAATAATTTCATTTTGGGGAGCATTTTCGCCTAGGGGTAACTTCCCCAAGGCTCAGTTATCTGGATTTAATTCCTGGGCGATACACATGGCTTTGCCGCTACCTGGCCGCTTAGAACAGCGTAAGAGATCCGGTTACCACTTGATCCACTGGATATCAATATAGGTCCAAACCAATTAATGTTATTATTTTCTTTGTGATTTGGGTAACAATCTTTTTTTGTGAAGACAAAAGGTACCTATTCCTTACCTCTTAATCAGTGTTTTACAGAGTATTGGATCCCAGATTGGAAAGCATTCAGATTCCCTGTCCCCCATTCGGTTTGGCCTCAGCCTTATGGGTTAGCTAGGCATCAAGGTCCAAACTGAACTTGGCAGCAAGCTTGTGACTGGGAGATCTATGTTGTTTGACTTATGTTCAGCTATCTATCCAGCCTAAAGCTGGTGAGAAGGGACTGGGTTAGACATGGGATGATTGTATCGTTGTCTAGGAATCTACCTGTGATACTTACCTGTTGCCTATGTTTACCTTGAAATTGAAATAATCACTGTTAAATTAGGCACGGTGAAAGTCAGATGGTGATTGGTGGGCTTGTGGTGTCATTCAGATCAGGCATCGCTTAGCATGGCACCCAGGCTCCAGGCTGAGGCCAACCATTAATTCATTTCATTTGAACTATGTCTCTCTAAAATGGCGTTAGAATCAATGAGTTAAGCCTGCTAGGGTGGGAAATCGGTGGTATAGGTATGTGAAGATGAAGTCCAAGTGGCTGTTGTATTCTGGTAGGATGTAGGTTTGACTCACCTATTTAACTTGCATGTGTTGGGTTCCCCATCTTCCCTATTGCTATCTATCTAGGTTGGTAGGTAGGTTGTAGAAATGTAGGTTGTAGGTTTGCAGGTTTAGTAGGTTAGTAGGTAATGTTAGGCCAGGTTAGGTTGTGTTGTTTATCTACTTGGACCTCATCTTCATATTTACTGGAAAATCTGCACCATTTTGCACTAGCTAGGTTCAGGGTGGAAACCTTCCCCAGCTTGTGCTGAATGAGACCTATAATTTTGTTAAATTGTTACAGATTTCAGGAATCTGCACCAGCTGTACTAAGGAGAACTGTCATATGTATTCCATTATTCCCTGTCCGACCCTGTTCCTTCTCTACTGTCTACATAGGTTGTATTTGTCCGATAGCGCGAAACGGGCCACTGCCCTCGCGAAACGCGTCACCGCACTCTCCCAGTCACACCGCGCGAGCCCCCACCCGGTCCTCCCGTCCCCAGACCCCCTGTCGTCCCGCCTCTGACAGTGAGGCCCGGTACAGTCCGGGGCCTGGTACAGCCCGGACCAGGTACCGTCTCTAACATCGGCGCCGGGGACGGGATACCACGACCCCGGTATCACACCACACCTCCCCCTGATTTTCAAGAATCATACATACAATTATATAAACACACGATACGGCAATACAAACACATAATACAAACAATACAAACAAACAAAACAATATCAAACGCACATGTGCTCACCGCTCACGTAAGAGTCATCACTCTGGCTGGGTGCAGCAGCTGCACGGCGGCGGCGGTCGCCGGGCACGCTCACTGTGACGGGGCGGGGGGATATTTGCCGCTTCCGCCGGCTCCCCTTCCGTCGAAACCGGTTCCGACCCCTCGCCAGGCGGCACCGTCCCATCTATCCCGTGTGACTCAGTCTGTGGCTCATCGGGGGGCGCCGCCCCGTTCAGCGCGTCATGTTCAGCTCGCAGTGCGGCCGGCGGGGGGCCAACGAGTAGTGGCGGCGATTCGTCGGCCTCTTCACTGTCATCCCCGCTGTCCGAGGACGCTTCGTACCGCGGTCGCAGGTTACGGACGTGCCACGGAACGCCGTCCACCTCCAGCACCTGTTCCGAGAGCTCGCCCGTAACCGTCCCGCGCCGAGACATCTCGGTACAGCGGGTGCCGCGGCGCCGCACCCACACACGGTCCCCTACCCGGAGCCGGGTCTCGGTCGGCTGAGTCAGCGCTGGCGCAGGCTGGGCGCCATCCCCGTCGGCATCGACTGGCGCATGCCCTGGGCGGACGCAGTCTCTCACCGCGTAGCGGTACACCCCGGCCGCTGGCGCGGTGTCCGCCGTCCGGCCGTCACGAGGAGTGACGTTGTAGAGGTGGACGGCCTCGGACACAGCGCACCGCCTCCTAGCCGCGATCACCTTGACAGTTCGATGGCACCGTTCCACTACGCCATTGCCGCCCGGCTCGTGCACGGCGCGGAATCTCAGGGCAATGCCCCACCGTGCCACGAGCGAGGCGAGTCGCCGGCCCCGAAACACAGTGTCATTGTCCGCCAGTATTTCTTTGGGCGCGCCGCGCTCCAGGAAGATCTGTTCCAGGTGGCCGGTGACCTCCTCTGCATCGGCACGGCCGAGCGGGCGCCAGACGGTGAACCGCGTGGGCCCGCAGTCGATGACGGTTAGGTAGCTCCGCCCCTGGTAGTGGGTCACGTCCATCGCGACGCGCTCCCATACTGCCGCCACCTCTAGCGAGCCGTGCCGCCACCGCACAGGCGCCGGGTCTATCGATCGGCACACATCACAAGTCGTCACGACCGCGCGCACCAGAGCCCTCGTCACGTCACGAGACACATCTCGCCGCGCGAAAAACAGCGTCCGACGAACGCCAGGGTGACCGGCCCGCTCGTGCACCGATTGCACAGACGACCTGACGGCATCTGCAGCACCAGCACCAACGACCACCTGCCCACGGGCGGCCGAGTCGCCGGCTCCGTCATCGGCCGTCACCGATACCCTGCTCTCTTCACACTCGTCACGCAGCCACTCCTTCGGCACTCGCGTCAGGGCGTCGGCGAGGTTCTCCTCTGAGCGAACCAGCGTGACGGTGACCTTGAGCTCCAGTTCGTTGGCTAGCTGTCGAATGAGGTCGACACGGCGTCTGATTAGCGTCTCACCGGCCGCTCTCGTCCGGAGGCGGGCGCGGCCGCTGAGCGCGTCGTCCACCCAGCGGTGCACTGTCGCCGAGTCTGTCCTTAGGTCGATGTTTGTCACGCCCCACGCCACGGCCAGGTTCAAGCCGCGAACGGCGGCATCCAATTCGGCCATGTTTATGTGGGTCGCTGCGGCGTCGCCGGGCCGGAGCCAGCAGGCGTCCTCCATCACGCCACCGCACGGAGTCTCGATGACCACTCCAGCCGCGATCGAGCTGGCGTCAGTCCAGACGATTGCCTGCTCCCCGGTCCAGCACCACTGGCCCCGCGCCGGGTCCGCCGCTAGCAGCCGGGAGTGCACGTGCGAGATCTGAGACTGCAGAAGCGCGTCGGTCGTGACGTCATCCCAGCCGCGCGTGACGGCATTGGCGCGCCGTTTCACCCAGGCGGCGGCGGGTCGCAGCCAGCCGCAGACGGGGAGGTGCGCCACCAGCCTGCCGCACCATGCAAATACCGATCGGCGCGTCACACGGTCGGGCGGGTCGGGGACAGCACTGTCACGAGACCACCGCAGCTCACCCGCCACACGCCGCACGTGGAGTCCCAGCATCCGAGCGCCGTCCTCGGCGCGTGCCGGTGGCTTGCACTCGAGCCCAAAACGCTCAAAGTGCTCGACCACGTGCTCAGCACTGACGACAGCCTCATCCACAAGCAGGTCGTCCACATACGGACAGACGGCGCGCTCCACTGCTGCATCCTGCGCCATGACGAGCCGCACCACCGCCTTCATCACGGCCGGCGCTACATTAAGTCCAAAACCAAGGCGGGTCAAACAGAATCGTTCACCACGGATGATCACAGTCTGATACGGCCACAGCTTCCGGTCGAGACGCAGCTGCAGGTACGCTCGCCGCAGATCTACGACGGCCACCCGCCGGCCGTGGCGGCGCCATTTCCGCAGGCGGTCGGCGCACACGTCCGAGTCGGCGGTGTATGCAGCTACGTGACCGTTCAGCTCTCGCATGTCCAGTACAGGGCGCACCTTCTTTGCTTGTGGGACGGCCATCAAGGGCACGAGGCCGCGCGGCGGACCGTCCTCTGCTTCATTGTAGGGCTGCAGCCAGCCGTTCCTCAGCCACGTCTCGAGCTCCTCGTCATACTCCTGCCGCGCTGACGGCGGCACGCGGTACTCGGCGACCCGGTTGGTCAGACAGTCTGGTGCGACTCCGTCCGCCCACTTCCAGGCCACTGTCCAACTGCGTGTTTTAACATCGAACCTCGCCGTGAAGTCTTTCGCGTCGGCCACTAGCTCCGCGGTGGATGCCCCGCCCACTCTGGGCCCGGGCATGGTATGCCCGGTCGCCGGGCCGGCCGGGTCCTGTGACGCAGTCGCTGCGGCGCCACCAAGCCCCGCCCCCTCTCCGCGCGATGCCGAGGCTGCCCTGGCCGGCTCCGCCGCCGCCACCTTGGCGCCGCCTGGACGCGCCACTGTTCCGCCGGTCACTTGGCCTGCCTGAGCGGGGCGATCCGTTGCTCCCTCGCCGCCGCCTGCGCGCGCCGCTGCACAGCCGATCGCCTGCGCTGCCCGGGCCGGGCCGGCCGCCGCCGCCTTGCCACCGCCTGGGCGCGCCACTGTCCCGCCGATTACCTGCGCCGCCCGGACCGGGCCCGCAGACGCTAGCTCGTTGCCGCCTGGGCGCACCGCTGCACTGTCAATCACCTGCGCCGCCCGGGCCGGGCCCGCCGCCGCTGCCTCGCCACCGCCTGGGCGCTCCACTGTCCCGCCGATCACCTGGGCCGCCCGGGCTGGACGCGCCGCCGCCGGCGCCTCGCCTGGCTGCGCCACTGCCCCGCTGCCTCCTTGCGTCGCCGGAGCCAAGCGCACTGCCGCCCCCGCGACACCACCTGGGCGCGCCACTGCTCTGTTGGTCCCCGCCGGGCGCACTGGGACCCTCTCTGAAACCGCGTTGATCCTCACATCCCCCGGCCCTTTCACGCTCACTCCGCCGAGGGCGGAGATGCCCGTCATTCCGAGAATCATGTCCACACCCATTGGTCGCGACGCCACCACTAGCACAGGCAAGACACTGTCGCCACCGACGCGGCCAACCGTCACGACTCCCACGCCCAGTGCCTGAACAGCGTGACCACCCATTGTCGTGATCAGCAAGCGCTGCCGGTCCCACTGATCACAAATGTCCACGTGCGCGAGGTTATGCGTACAACCCGTGTCGACAAGCACGTCTCGGAGTCCTCCATTCAGCGGCAACCTGATTATGGGCAGCGCTCCTCTTATTGCGCAGGAGACGGCGCTGGCGCTGACGCACCGCTCCCTGTGCCGTTTCCCTGCGGGCAGCCGGCCGCCAGGTGGCCCAGCCGGCCGCACGCCCAGCACCGGCGCGAGCACGGCCGTCTCGGGACGCGCGCCGCCATCACCGCCTCCGCGTCCTGCGTTCCACCGCGGCTTCCGCCCCCTCCGCGTGGAGGCGCTGCCGTCGCGGCCGCCACCGTTGCCACGCGGTCGTCACTGAGGACCGCGCGCGCTCGCGCGACCACGCTGGGAAGGTCCAACGCCTCGGCGCGCGAGCCGGCGCGAATCACCTGTCTTGCCGCGTCCGGCAGCCCGTTCACGAATGCACAGGACAGAGTCCGGTCCGGCACGCCACCGAACAGTTCAGCCAGCCGCCGCAGGTCCGCCAGGTAGACGTCGGCGGACTCGCCCGGCTGAAGACGGCGAGTGACGAAGGCATCGTAAGCCGCGAAGCTGTCCAGGGCGAACGCCGCAAAGAGGGCAGACTTGATGGCTGCCAGGGAGGCTCGATGATCGACCGGCAGCTGAGCCCACACGGCGAAGGCTCCACCGGTGAGACGCAGGGGGACCACCGCTCCAAAGTCCACGCCACGGTGGGCGCACAACAGTTCCGCGCGGGTCCACCACTCTACCACGTCTGTGGTGCCGTCAAACTCCGCTATCACGCGGACGTCCAAGGCACCCGCGCTCACTGCACTCGCGGACACTGATGGCACCTCGTCTCCAGCCATGGTAAGGCCGAAATAGCTTGTATTTGTCCGATAGCGCGAAACGGGCCACTGCCCTCGCGAAACGCGTCACCGCACTCTCCCAGTCACACCGCGCGAGCCCCCACCCGGTCCTCCCGTCCCCAGACCCCCTGTCGTCCCGCCTCTGACAGTGAGGCCCGGTACAGTCCGGGGCCTGGTACAGCCCGGACCAGGTACCGTCTCTAACATCGGCGCCGGTGACGGGATACCACGACCCCGGTATCACACCACATAGGTACACCATTTTCTTGGACTTATGATGCACCAGTGCAGCTGAGATCAGCAGGGCTCTCTGCTATGTCCACATCTTTCCACTCAAAGTCCTCACCACACCACAATGAACTCACAATACACGACACACCACCTGAGGCTGAGTGCCCCATCACCAACAGGATCGCTGACATTGCCACGCTATGCAGTCTTGTTTAGATCCAGCCATCTGCCTGGTTTGATTCCTGGCAGGGCTGCAGAGAAGGTAGGCATTTACGCTTGACAATTATGACTAGATCATGTCTGAAGGGTTACTCATCTGCGAGGCTGGAGGCAGCATAATTGACAAACACTGGGGCAAGTAGTACACACTACTCACTAGTTTTTCCCCAAAGTTCACAGCCCAAAGGAACACTTCCATATCTGTAGCATAATAGTACCTACCATATAAATCTGAGTCTACTTAAAAACTTCAGTCTGCTTCTGTCTCAGTCCAAGTAGAATAGGGTGCTTATCACTCAAACCAGGCTGAAGTATGGCGGCAGACTAGGTGATGAGAGTGCACCAGCAGTGAGAGTAATTAATGTGAACCCCTGAAAAATGTTAAAATTGCCAGACAAGCTGGAATGCCCGCTGCTATCATTCCAAGAATCTGCGCCATCCGTGCTGGCTGAGCAACTCGCACCTTTGACTTACGCATTGTCAAAATTGTCATGCCTACCTCATAGTTTGAATATTACCGCAGTGGAATGCACATTATCATTTTTTGTGCTCAATGTCTAGGTCCAGGGACAGGTTGATAATGGAGAGGCCAACTCTACCAGCGACTAAAAGGAAGCATGGTGAAGATCGTGGCTTTGTGATCCCCAAGAAGAAGAGAACTGAGGAGTCGGCGGGACCCGGGGGCAGTGCCGACGAGCCCCAGGCCACCACCGAGAGCAATGACGAAATCACCAAGGTTCAAACGGCCAACCAGGTACGGGACTCTGCTAGTGTTTTGTTGGCCTACTTATTGTTGTAGAGTAAAAAGTAAATAAATCTAGAGCTTAAAAGTTAAAGTTTAAAAGTGAAACACTGTCTCGCGATGTTCCCTGTTTACGCCATGTTTTAGCGAAGCGTGACTTGTTATGTTTATGTGCAGGATGGACTCGCTACTGCGGTTGCCAACCACTACAATCAGCTGGAGAATACCGGTGTCCGCGACCGAATCAAAAGCCCCATCTTCTACCTCAGAAACTTTAACAACTGGGTGAAGAGTATGCTCATCGGTTCGTATGGCTATCGCTATTTTTACATTAAAATAACGCAAATTTCATTGCATTTCATGAATAATTGATTTTTTCATTTTCCGTCGCATTTTCTAATTTCAACCGCAACAAATACTTATTTATTACTGTTACTTTTTTTTTGCTTGTTGATCTTTGACTGTTGAACACTGAGTAAGATGTGTACTGAGCTGGCCGTTACGACCCAGCTCGGTGCGTTGGCAGTTCGTCACGCTGTGTGTGTGTGTTGCAGGCGAGTTTGTGCACCGTCTGGCAGACGAGTCGGTGACTGGCCACCGGCCCACCGTGCTCGACATGGGATGCGGCAAGGGCGGAGACATGCTCAAATGGAAAAAGGTCCGTCCAACCCCGGGAAGGAGGGGCTTCCACTGCCCACTGGAATCTGTCACAGGGCCTAGGAATGCCACACTAACGGCTGCTCAAACCAATGGCGTGTTTGGTATTGGTATTGTTTTTGCGCGTGATATGTTTTATGTGCGAAAGTCACACGCGTTATTTGCAATACGGTAATATAAATGCAATTGTACGCATTACAAAGTGAGTAGGCTCTACGATCTCATAACTCCATCGGTATCTGACGCTTACCTCCCCGTCAGGCGGAAATCCGCCACCTGATCTGCGTGGACATTGCCGAGACGTCGGTGGAACAGTGCCGGGGCCGGTACCGCGACATGAAGCAGCGTAACGAGCGGGAGCGACACCCGCAGCCGCTCTTCAGCGCAGAGTTCATCGCCGCCGACTGTACCAGGGTCAGTGGGGCAGAATGTATCCTTGTCAGTGGGGCAGACTGTGTACCAGGGTCAGTGGGGCAGACTGTATCCGTGTCAGTGGGGTCAGAGGGAGTCAGTGGGCAGACTGTATCCGTGTCAGTGGGGTCAGAGGGGTCAGTGGGAGTCAGTGGGGTGGACCGTATCAGGGTCAGTGGGGCAGACTGTATCCGTGTCAGTGGGGTCAGTGGGAGTCAGTGGGGTGGACTGTACCAGGGTCAGCGGGGCAGACTATGTACCAAGGTCAGTGTGTGTGTGTGTGTGGGGGGGGGGGTCAGTGGGGCAGACTGTACCTATCCGTGTCAGTGGGGTCAGAGGGGTTAGTGGGGCAGACTGTATCCGTGTCAGTGGGGTCAGAGGGGTCAGTGGGAGTCAGTGGGGTGGACTGTTTCAGGGTCAGTGGGGTTAGTGGAGCCATTTGTACAAGAGACTTTGTTTTGAGACGAGAACCTTTATTGAAATTAAAGCTCAGTAGGTAGTTCAAACCCCAGTTCGAATTCCAGTCGGTAGGCAGTGTCTCACTGCCCCGGGTCTCTGAGACGCTCCTTTATCCTCTCAGGTGCGGATCCAGGAGCAGTTCCGGTCGCCAGTCAATAGGTATCCTGGTATAGTGTCCCGGGTCTCTGATGTGGTCCCCTATCCTCTCAGGTGCGGATCCAGGAGCAGTTCCGGTCGCCGGAGATGCGTGTGGACCTGGTGAGCGTGCAGTTCGCGCTGCATTACGGCTTCGAGAGCTTGCAGCAGGCTGAGCGGATGCTGGAGAACGTCTCAGATCGACTGAGACCGGGAGGCTACTTCATCGCCACCGTGCCAGACGGACACGCCATCATGTGAGAGAGACGCGCGGGGAGGCCGGATGTCGGTGCGGACATGTGAGTCCGGGACATGGAATTGTATACTGGTTGTTATCATTATGCGGGTGACGGGGATGCTGGGTCGGTACTCGGTACCATCATATACAAGTGAGAGTGACAGGTGGGATGTAGGATCGGCACTGTCATTTGAGGGCGGAACAGTGGATAGGTGCCGTCGTTAGAGTTACGGGAACTATTAAGTCGTTAGAGTTCGGTACTGTTCATCACGGGGGCGCAACAATGTCCCTCACAGACTCTCCCGTATGATAAAAACACTAAATATCGGTGCTTAAGTCACTCATAGTCAGTGTATCCACGACATGATTACTAAATCGGCACTGTGCCGGTCTGCTGAGTGTGCCACAGCTGGTGTTCAGACTCTCAGTATTACCTGCTGCAGTCGCTGTTCTCACCTCTGGTTTCTGCATAGGGCGCGTCTGCAGCGGGCCGGCGGACGCCAGTTCGGTAACGACCTGTTCAAGGTGCGACTGCGCGAGCCGGAGCGGCGGCCGCCGGCGCTGTTCGGCGCGCAGTACGACTTCTTCCTGGAGGGCGTCGTCGACTGCCCCGAGTTCCTCGTCTTCCTGCCACTGCTGGAGAAGTGAGTGGTCGGGTGGGTGGAAATCGGTCCACACTTTCGTACGGACAGGGGTGGCCTAGTGTGAGCACTGCATTGGGCCTGGCTATACCATAAGCAAGGAAAAAAACGAAGAATGCCCATGTTATGTTTCATATTCAGCTGGGGGTGGTCGCATGGTGATATACGTAGTTTTCCGCAGTGGAGGACAATGGACAGTATTTTGTTCGGTGTGGCCACCAAGATCAGTTTGTCGGCCATCAGTTTCACCCAGCCCTAGCCATTCCTCGACTGTTCGGTGATAATCAGAAAACACGACGATATCTTCGCGTCCACAGGCTGTGCAAGAAGTACGACCTGGATCTGGTCTACAAGAAGCGCTTCAATGAGATGTTCCGCACGTACAAGACCACGCAGGATGGGAAGATGCTGCTCAACAAAATGCAGGCCCTCGAGGTGAGCTTTTGTAATATGCTCTGTTGGAATCACATGCCGTTTTTATGTTCTTCGTGATCAAGTTTCGTTCAATCGCCTCCATGCGTGGGCAAACTTTGTTGTGCTGGCTATTTTGATAACGTTAGGTGCATGCTTTTGCAATCCTTTGACTCTCATGCTTTGTGTTTCGCATTATGTCGTCTTTTGTGTTTATGTCTCAATGACCAATAACCATAATAACTGTTAAAGGTTCCTGCGGCTATTATCGCATTGGATGAGCCATTTCTATCTCGCTGACTGGCCGCCGGTCGGTGTTTCTCAGGCGTACCCGCCACAGCACGGCGCCGAGCTGCTGGCTGAGGAGGAGGAGTACAGCCACGCGCGCGCCGCCGCCGAGCACGAGCGCTGCGTGGGCACCATGTCTCGCGCCGAGTGGCAGGCCTGCAGCCTCTACATGGCGCTCGCCTTTAAAAAGGCCAAGCCGGCGCGGTAGCGACCGCCGACCTCCCCGGCTCGGGGTGGACGGAAGGGAGCGGGGTTCTCGCTGTGTCAAGGACTCCCGGTTGGCGCCCGTTGGGGGTGCCGACGGATGAGGGACGCACGTCCGATCCACAGGGTTCAGGGAACTGCGGGAGGTACGAACAGGTGATGATGTCATTGGGCCGCGGTGTAAGTCTTGTCACGGCTAGTTATGCTCTCCGGTGGAAGGGTCTCTGCGGTACCGGTTTAATTGTGTTCCGGCTGAGGTACTGAGCTGAGCCCACACAGCCTGTTCTGATGACCCCGCGATGGTAGAAAATAGCTGGCAGCATCAAAGGAACTCCTCCCTGTTCACATGGTGTTAACAGCCGTTGGTAGTTTCATCTAACTACCAGTTGAACTGTTTGAACTTTTCTTCCGTTTAGCCCTACAGTTGGGCTATTCTCCCGTTTTCGGTCGAACATTTGGGGCTACTTTCAGTGCCCACGGTGCGCGGCCCTTGCTTTCTGATCTCGCCCCCAAAGTGAGGTGTTTGTGTTGTCATCCCGCGTGCAGGTGTTCATTATGGGCTCGACAGTTTCTGCCGTTTCAGATCGATCCATGTTTCATTGCTGTCGTGTTTTCGTTTGCACGTTTTTATCCTAGGTTCGCATAATTTGACGGCCAATATGGGTGTGTGAACAGTTGCTCGTCGGGTGGAACCCAGTGCTGTATTTCACGGTAACGTGTTGATGAATTCACCGGTCGGATAGATCACTTTGAAATTTGTCTTTCCACGCAATTTGACGCCGTTTTGCACGCCATTAGCGCAGAGCGTCATATGGATATCCGTTTGACGGCACCGCTAGGCTGTCAAAGATTTGATATGGGACGAGAAAAATCGTCTCAAATGTGTGTTACTTGAAATCTCAGTTTTGTACAATACGCTGTTTTGTTACAAATATTCAAACATTGCTGACTTTAAATAAGCTGACTCCATTACTGGGCGGACTTGAGGTGCACACCAGATACCGAGGCGCTCCGAACTTCCCCAAAGAATGCCACAAGAGACCAGTGAGGTCAATTTACCGAGCGTGCAACTCGGGATTCCTATCATGACTGTTGATTGCGGCGGTCTATGCTGCGGCGTCCAACGCGGTTGCTGCTCTGTCAAACGCGTCACGGCGCCTCTCACCAGTGATGATATGTTCCGGCTGTCCGACTCGCCCCAGCCTGTGGGTATGGCTACCGCTGGATAAAGCCCGCTGATGGCGGACCTTTGGGACTAGTCTTTCGGTTGTGCGCGCAATGTCGCAGATTCGATGCCTCAGGCGGTCCACCAAAATCGACTGTGACTAATGACAATACACGAGACTTCAGAGCAGTTTGATGGTTTATCAACGTTGTCGACGAGTGAAAAAACATGACTTGACGCCCGCGACCGCGGCGGCATGGGTTATGAACACTTTAATAACAATGTAATAAATATGAAGCGCCGTCACAGTCGTGGTTGTCGCTCCCCCGAATCCCGCGATACACAGCGAACTCTAAAACGAGCGGCGGGCGCAACAGCGCCGGCCGAATTCTCCCACCCTCTCCGCGGCCACACGAGCCGCCCGTCCCGCAATTTAGGACTGAGGAAGCCCACACGATAAGCCCGCAATACACGCGTTTCGGCCACATTGGAATCAGCCGCAATACATGATTCAATTAACACGACTCTCAGGCTGCGGCAATACTGAGCAATAAAAACCGGCCGTAAAAGCGGTCACCCCCGCCCATCAGACGTCTCACAGTCCCTAACCCCACCGTCGACGTATTGTCCTGACTCGGTCCGGCCCGCCCGGAACCCCGGATATGAGCACAGGCAGATCAGCGGTCCCGGGTACGAGGATAGCCCCGGAGGGACGGCACGGGAGCACACAGATCGATCACTGCTGCCCCGCCGCCCGGAGCGGATCACAAAGGCAGTGGGGCTGGTCCGTTCCGGGCCCCGCGGCAGTTCATCACATCCACCCCCGAGTCTCTAATACACAGCACACCGACAAACCGCCTGCCATTTGGACTCAAACCTCCTCACCCTGTGAACTAGGCAACTTTGACAAGACGGCATTGCGTCAGTAACGGCATTGTGACAAAAGAAATTCTTCAATAAATAATCGATTAAAAAGGCACCGCTCGGCGTACCGAGCGCCCCTACGAAGCTCTGTGTCCGGTCGCCCCGCGTGCCCAGCGCTCAGGCGGGCGGCTCGGGCCAGATGTCCGCCGGGTCAGTCGGCTGAACGTCCAGAAAGCCCTGCCTGCGGACAGTGTCCGTGTCGAACGTCTGGTCGAGTCTCTCCTGGCGACACCGGCCCAGGATCCAGAGCGCCTCCGACTTCACCTGTCCGCCGGGAGAGGCGCATTGTCATATGAAGCCCATGTGAAGGACAGCAAATCAAATAAAATTGCTTGAACACATATATGCATAGCAAATTCATAGAACATGTCATATATTTTTGGAGTCTGATGAATTTAATCATCTTGAGAAAGAAGCAGTCTTTTACCTCCAAAACGAAAAATATGCACATTGTATGAATTATGACGAACGTTAGTCAGTCGTTCGTCATAATTCTGAAGCTATCCCCGGCAACCGTTCACAAAAATAATCCAACACGTTTGACGTCCCCGAGTGCTTGTCCCACATCGACAACACCCAATTCTCGTCCCACCATAGACTACTCACGTCCTCAAACATAACGTCCTCGAAGAGCTCCTGGAGGAATCGTCGCGACGCCAGCCTGAAGTCGTAGTGTGAGAGCAGCAGGTGGATCTCCGTGTACAGGCACAGGTCGGTCCGCAGCAGACTGCCGAACTTCTGCTTCAGGCTGATCGGTACAAAATGAAGGAGGGGAAGAGGAGGGGGTCACTCAGTGGCTCTCCAAGGACTGAAAGGGCCACTCTATCATAAATTACGCTGTGTACCCAAGATTGTCCAGTTGGGTGTTTAATGGCCAGTCTTTCGCAACAATCCGCTTCGCACAGTTTCTATTCCTCGAGGTTCACCTGAAATTCGCGACTTTATTTACATAGAAACAATACCATGATTTTGACGCCAACACTGCAGGTGCTGAGAGCTCCCACCAGACGAAGTGCTCCACTCCCCTCCCATCCACTCACCTGAGAAGGCCCTGTTCGGCGGCCTTGACGCCCACACTGGTACTGAGAGCCCCCACCAGACGGAGGACCTCGCGGCGCACCAGGGAGCGCACGTGGCCGCCCGTCATCTGGCGCGAGCCGCCTGCCGTCCATGGTCGCGGTTAGATGATACACAGACACATTTGCACAGTGTCTAGTAAGTACCTGGTAAGTACCATGCGCCGACCATCCCGTACCATGTGGTATTACAGCTGTTTATGTGGCATCAGACTTACGCACCGTACGGAGTAACATCACGAATCATCAAGGTGTTATCATATCAAATCAAACCAGCAGCTGCAAGGCATGACATTTTCTATTCCCTTCCCAGGACTGTATCAAATAATTTTCAACGGTCGGTTCAGTTCATCACCCAAAGCCCTTACTGCTAGCAATAATTGCAGTTTCACCCAGCTCCGAGGTCCGAACCCTCCGGCCGATAGTTTCACTTGGCCCGCACCGTTGGCCCACCTCAGACTTTCGACACTCTCGGCACTTTCGACACTCCTGTAGGCATTTACCTAGGAGGTGCTCGTGGCTGGCCAGACTGGTGGCGCCGTGGCCCCCTCCCCTTCTGATACCCACCTAGGAGGTGTTCGTGGCTGGCCAGGCTGGTGGCGCTGCCCACACTGGTGATGGAGGACGGAATATCGAGCGTGGCGCCGCCGCCGCCCAGCCGCAGGTGTGACAGGTACCAGCCGCCGCCGCCGCCGCCGCCCCCGCCCACCGGGTGCTCCGGCTGGGGCGGCGACGCCACGTGCTGCGCGCTCTCCGTGCTGGACTCCGTGTCTGAAGACAGAGCGGGGCACACAGGGTCATACAGATGGGCACAAAGCGTCATGACGTAGCGGTTCGGGCGTTGTTCCTGCATACTCTGCCATAATCATGGGCTGTTATTTCCCATACCTGCTACATTGCATGATTAAATCGAGACATCCAGGCATTTAAACGGCACGTGCACTGTACCACACTTTTCAAAGTTTAATGCAGTACTTTAATATTGCCAGCCGTGTGGTTCAAGGGGTGTGGTTTAACACGTTGAACCACACGGCTGCTGACGTCACTATCATATAGTTGTGAGCTTTTTGGCAGGTATGGGAAACACCTTCCAGCCCTAAGGCCGGGAATTCAATAAATGTCACCTCTCTTTTTTAGCAAAATCACCTCGGGCCTAACGGCCCTCGGAGTTTTCGCTAAAAAAACCTCGGTGACATTTATTGAATCATCCCGGCCCCGGGCAGGAATATATTGAGACGGAGCGTAGCGTCACATGAACGCCATGCGACGTCATATGGATCATACGTAATAACCCTATGGCGGATAGGTCAGGTGGTGTCATGTGGTAAACTTATGTCATAAAAGTCAAGCTAGCAAGTACGACTGACCTGTTCTATTCCGCGGCCTCCTCTCCACACGGTCTTTGAGTGTGAAGCAGCGGATACAGTTGGTCGGGTTGTGGAACTCCAGCACTCCGTCCTCGTCTGTACAGAGGCGGCGGTGGGAAAAGAGGGAGCACACGTCAGTTCGGGGACACAGACAGCGGAACACGGAGAGAGCATGTGTTAGTAATATAACACAGCGAACAGCGGGCACTGAAAGAGCATGTCACGGCGGAGACTGAACAGAAATAGAGACACTGCAGGACATGACGAAAATTGCAGGCATGATGAAAAGTGGGCTCTAGCTGCCGCAATAGAGCTGCGATTGCGCCCATATCCCAGCACCAAAAATTACACACGTAGAGAAACATCCCTAGCTCCCTTTTCCCTCTCCTCCTTTCTCCTCCCCTCTCACCGAGGGAGAGGCTGGCGTCTTTGGAGCTCTGCTCGGGCTCGGAGTCGGTGGACGGCTGCCGGGGCGCCGCGTGCGCCGGCGGTGGCGGCGGCGCCAGCAGGCCGGTGGTCAGGTCCAGCGGCAGCGCGATGCCCAGGTAGGCGGGCGCCAGGGCGCTCCTCTGCAGCTGGTAGCGCTTCACGGTGGTCAGCGAGGAGCGCCGGGACGAGCCGCGTATCAGCAGAGCGCCGCCCGGCGACGGTGGACCCGCCCCGCTGCGGGAGACAACGGGAGGGGAGGTCAGGGATGGGAAGTGGCAAAGCGAGCCGATACACCGTGCCGAATGGCATACTTTTATAGCGACGGTAATTACAAATAAAACTAAATCAATAGTTTCTTAATAAGCAACCGATTTTTGACAAGACAAATTTCATGCTTTCTTGAGAAAAATTTGTGTCATAACAATTAACATCCTTAAAAAAATGCCAATCATAAGACCGTCCTCCAAGCGGTCTTCCTAACGCACCTTGTTTTGGCCCAGCCTGACAATTACTTAGCGCCCACACGATCCCCTGTCTTATTGTTCCCGTGTGTTGACACAGTTTCCCACACAGCCCCGGTTTCCAAGTTCTCTCCCTGGTCCCGAGTTCCTCTCTCACCTCAGCGTCCTGCTGAGACGCGCGTCCAGCGTCAGCGAGGCCAGCCGGCGGCGGCCGCAGTCGAGCAGCGGCGCTGCCGACGTCCCCGACGCCCCCTCATCCGCCGACTCGCCGCGTCGCAGCCGGCCCGTCAGGCCGCGCAGCGTGGCGTACCCCTGCGCGTCCTCCTCGCTCGGGTAGTAGGTCGGCGGCGAGAGAGACAGCGAGACGGACGGCAGGCGCGAGCGAGTGGTCGGAACGGGCACCGCCAGCCGCGCCGAGCCGGCCGGATCCGCGCCGCCGCCGTCACCCAGCGAGCCCGAGCTGGCGATGGGACTGAGCGGCGCCGCCGGCGTCGGCTCGGCGCCTGAGCGGCCCAGGCTCTCCGTGGACGACCAGCCGCCGCCGGTGGGCGAGCCCTGCCACGCACCGAACTCGGGGATCACGGGCGCGCGCGCGGCGTCGCTCAGACTGCGCGCGTGTCGACTGGAGCCGGCGCGGCCGGGGGCGGGCAGGGTGGCGCTGCGGGCGGACGCGCTCAGCTCTGCGGTCTCACTGGTCTCACTGGCGGTCCTCGCCCGGCTCAGGTCGTAGCTGGAGCCGCTGCTGACCGAGAGTAGATCACCGTTGGTGGCACGCTCCTCCGTCCCGGGCGCGTCCAGCTTCTCCTCGTCGACTGCCCAGCGCTCGGTCCAGCGGCGGCACACACACTGCCAGCCGTGCGCGGCCAGCGCGGCGGCGCCCTGCGGAGTGGAGCCCAGCAGACCCAGCGCCAGGCAGGCGGTGGCGCGGGCCGAGAGCGCGCCGGCGCCGGCCGCCAGTGCCACCACGGCCGCTACCAGGCCGGCGTCCGACAGCCACGAGGCGCCCAGGCCGGTGCGACCCACGTTACCCAGCGCCCAGAGCGCCGCCTTCAGCTGGTGCAGGTTTCCGGGGGTGGAGAGGTCGGCAGCGGCCGCCTTCACCACCTGCGGGCGCCGCGGGACGCTGGTCAGTGAGGCATAAAAACGAGCCAGCAGAAAAATCAGCGAGTGGGGTACATATCCAGCCATTACTAATTTCGTCACGCGAAAATCAGGTTATCATAAAGAAATTAAGCATTGAATTCAACAACAATTCGACTAAAACCGAACGTCATTAAATGTAACAAATTTGTGATACTCCGCTAAAATTATTACTCACATAAATATTTAAGCCGCCGCCGTGAGTAGCATGTTCCAAGACCCACCAATTGTCCTGTTCATACACCGCTCTCGTCAGCAGCACGAGCCCGTCCCAGGCCCACCGGTCGTCTCACCCGTATCATATCCGTAACCTCGGGCCGTGCGCGCACCAGGTCGAATCCGGCCCGGTGGTGCGCCAGCTGTCCGTACAGGTGGTACGGTAGGTGGACGGGCCGCGTCTGGTGCCGCTCACCCGTACGCCGGCCGTATCCGCCGCCGGCCGCGCGCTGGTGGCGGGTCAGCGCGTCATTCAGCTCCGTCTCCACCAGGGAGACGTATCTGCAGGAGAGTGAAGGGAAAGTCACACAGGACACTACCTGGGGGAGCGGGGAGTCTCAAGGGGACACCGGAGCACGCCTGCTAGCAGAAAGTCGCACTTAGCAGCTGTGTACGGTAATGAGAACAGAATACACTACACAGATAATTCGGCCTTCATTTCTAAGATGTCTTCCGATAAAATTAAGCACGCCTAACTCAAAAATTCGTATCATTTCGCTTTCAATTTCGGCGGCCTGTTCTGAGCCGCATTCGAGTCCCACCTGGCGTTGAAGCTGTCCCGCCACCGGTCCCACTTCCCACCTGGCGTTGAAGCTGTCCCGCCACCGGTCGAGCTCGTGGTCGAGGAAGTTGGCCCGCTGGAACATCCGGTGGCCGGCCGGCACGGAGAGCAGTCGGGCGAACAGCAGGACGCCGCCGTCTCCGAGCGAGAGCACCGACGGCTGCTGGCTGACGACGGCCTTCAGGTACGGCTGGAACACAGACAGATATACCGACGGCTGGAACCCACGGACAAACATACATACAGACGGCTGCTGGCTGACGACAGCCTTCAGGTACGGCTGGAACACAGACAGACAGACAGACATACCGACGGCTGGAACCCACGGACAAACATACATACAGACGGCTGCTGGCTGACGACTGCTTTCAGGTACGGCTGGAACACAGAGACAGACAGACATACAGACGGCTGCTGGCTGACGACTGCTTTCAAGTTTCAGGTACAGATGGAACAGACAGACAGATATACCGACGGCTGCAACCCATGGACAAACATACATAGAATTTGCTCTGGCTGACGGCTGCTTTTAGGTACGGCTGGAACACAAAGACAGACATACAGGCGGCTGGAACCCACGGCCAAACATACATACAGACGGTTGCTGGCCGACGACAGTCATCAGGTAAGGCTGGAACACAGACAGACAGACAGACATACAGACGGCTGGAACCCACAGGCAAACATACATACAGACGGCTGCTGGCTGACGACTGCTTTCAGGTACGGCTGGAACACAAAGACAGACATACAATACAGACGGCTGCTGGCTGACCACCGCCGAGGTTCCGCTGGAACGTTCAAATAAGAAAATCCAACGATGCGAAGTTCACCGCCACAGAATGTAGCGAATCCTGAGAAGTTTCGAATCATGATCAACCCAAAATAAATCGCTGGGTGTTTTATTAGCATTCCCTGATCTACTTGGCAGTGAGTGTCATGACCGATACTGTCCGGGGCTCCACGCGGTGACCCCAACCACGTACCCACTCGTGGACGCGCACGGCGGAATACTCACCTCATAGTCGCAGACCTCCTCGACCACCTGCAGAGCGGCGGTCGACACGCGCTCCGACGTGTCGTACAGCTGGCTGACCAGCATCTCCACACCCCAGCGTGCAAAGCCGGGGCAGTGTGCGCGCGCCAGCAGCCGCAGCAGCTGCACGCAGTAGAGCCGCTTCGTCTCCTCGGCGGCGGCCAGGCAGCGCTCGAGCAGGCGCCACGACCACTGTCCCTGGCTGTAGTCGAGGCTGGACACCACCAGTTTGACGTAGTAGTCCCAGCCGGAGCTGGCCACCAGGTCCGTCAGCCTGCGGGACGGACGGACGAGAGGTTACAGAGGCGCGCACTGAGCACAGAGATAGACAGAATGACCGGAGGACGGAGGTGCACTGACGTTAAGAACTGCACGACTCCCTCCCCCTTCCATTCACCATCAACATCACAGACTGTCCAGGTATTAAATGTAATCCTTCTCCTTGCTCCCGGCCCTCTTCCTCTTTTCACCTCGCCGCCACGCCGTGCCGCTCGAGCAGCTCCCGGCCGACTAATCCCCCCCCCTCAGTCCACCCCTTTCCCTATCCGCTCACCTGGCGGCCACGCCGTGCCGCTCGAGCAGCTCCCTGCCGCGCTGAGAGCTCGACACGCGGCCGATCAGCAGAAACTGGTGCTGCACGCACGTGTTGATTAGCGAGTTGGCGCTTATCTGCGCGCTGCTGTCACCAGAGCCGCCCGTCGAGCCACCGGCGGCCGAGCGGAGGAACTGGGCCTGGTCCGAGACCAGTGCGGACAGCAGCTGGCCGCATTGGGAGCACACACTCTGTGGAGGCCCCCGGGGGGGGGGGGGTGTCAGCAGAAACTGGTCCTGGTCCGATCAGCTGGGACAGTAGGTGACCGCAATGGGAGCACACACTCTGGGGATGGGGGGGGGGGAGAGGTCAGAGCAGCACACTCCCAAGGGTCGAAAGAAAGTCAGGGTAGGTCGGTATACAGTCATGACTACATATAGGCGATCATCATTATCTGTAATCATTTTTCCAAACCGTTAAGATAGCATTTAGCTGCAGTTCCCCGGTCCATCTGTCTCATGTACCACACTACTAAGCCATCCAAGCCCCGGCGTCTCCAGTCTCAGTACGCGCTCCTTGCCTGGTCTATTCGCAGCAGTGCGGAGACCGTGTCGGCCATGACCAGGGTCTGCTGGTGGCTGGTCTTCCCCACGGGCAGCCGCCAGTACTGGCGACAGTCGGGCTTCAGTAGCGCGCAGAGCTTGGAGAGCACTGCGCACAGCTGTGTCCCGTGCTGGGTCGTGGACAGCTGGAAACGAGGACACCATTCATACGGTGAATGACAGACGGGCACGTTCTTCCGCGGCGTTACAGCACAACAGTGTGCGTCAAAAATGGCTTTCCAGAGTGACAACTGTGTTGCGGTAGCCAACTTATGATACAAGCAACAAGCAAGAAAGCTTACATAATTTGATCGAGCAAAAGTCTAAACGGGCAATAACAAACTGTGAACGCGCTTGAGCCTTGAATAATATGACATGTCTGTTCTGCACCGTACTATCCTGGTTAGGGGCCCTGCCCAACCTTGATGCTTGACCAATAACCAGTTACCGGTACCACCCTAGCCCGTGTTTTTCGACACTGTCATACGGTCGTACTTTAACCACCCCAGTGCCACGCCTACCTTGACCAGACAGTGTACGGATGACCAGCGCCAAGTGGTGGAATCCTCAGAGCTCATCATTCCGCTGTCGGAGAGCAGGCTACGGACGCACTCATCGCTCACCCTCACCTGGGGAAGGTGAGGACAGGGAGAGCGTTATCGAACAGGGGACGGGTAACAGCAAACACACGGCATAGCAGCGTTCATTTTCAGCGGTCTAGTTGACTTTCAGCACCTCACAAACCAATTTAAGAAATTAATACACTTTAAACTGCTTTTTGAAATGCCAGGGATGGAGCAAAGACTCACGTCCTCCAGCCCCCAGTGTCCCACAGAGCCGTGGCTCAACGACTCATCTCCCTATTATCCCCCAGAGCCGAGACTCAATGACTCACCTCCCTGTTCTCCCGTAGCGCCCGGTCGAACACGTCTGTGGCGCTGGGGTCGTCCTGGCCACAGAACGTCATCTGCTGACGGAAAAACACACTGGCTCCATCCATGAGAGCGTGTCGCCGCCGGACGGTGTGGAGCCTCGATAATAAACTGATGGCCTCCGTTACCTGAGGTAGGGAGATGTGTGGTCAGAAGGGACGGTGTGCAGTCTCGATAATAAACTGATGGCCTCCGTCACCTGAGGCAGGTCAGAGACGGGAGGGTCAGATGGGTCGATCAGGGGAGAAGAGGGGTCAGCTGGGTCGAGAAACTGACAGCGACATTTCTGACGAACGGTCCGTCGTCGATACGCATCTATTCACCAACATGCGCTCCGAGTGTCACTACTCCCACCCTCCCTCACTGCCTGCCCTGTCACGGACCAAACTCTCAACGTTGGGGTCTCGCACTGAGCGGCGCATGGTTGGGGGGGGGGGCGGGGGTCACTCACCCTCCTCTCGGTGGGCCCGCACTGGGCGGCGCGTGGTTCGGGGCCGGGGGCCGAGGGTCAGAGACCACAGCTCGTCTTACCCTCCTCTCGGTGGGCCCGCACTGCGCAGCGCGTCCCAGCAGCGTGGGCAGACAGTTGGAGAAGCGCGCGCACTCGACGGGCAGCAGCTCGTTGACGCGGTGCAGGATGTCAGCGATGAGCAGTGTGGCGGCCAGGCTAAGCGGCGTGTCAGCCGTCACCACCACCTCCACCAGCGCCTCGAGCACGCCGTTCTCCAGCAGCACGTACAGCAGCACGGCCAGGTGGTTCATCACCAGGTCAGGACTGGCAGACACACAGACACACAGTCAGATAGTCACCACGGTCTTCAGCAGCACGTACAGCAGCACCGCCAGGTGGTTCATCACCAGGTCACGACTGAGAGGAGAAATATTGAGTAAATTGAGGTTCCAAAGTAAACGTATGTGCCAACTTTTTTCCATTCATATACGTTTTGGACCGTTATAGGTCACAAAGAGCAAGCTTGATTCAATATCTATTGCTTGTCAATTTATTTCCTTTTAACTGACTGCATGCTAACTTACTGTCTTCTAAAATGGGAACACAGGTAATTTTATTCATGCATGGCAAATGGCGAAAAAAGACTAGATGTTCCCACCACGGCTTACAAAGCCACAGCCACTACCGGACCCGCTGTGACCCACCACCTCCAGTGTTTCCCGCCGTTGGCCACACCACATCCCGCCGCAGCAGCTCACCGCGTGTCGCCCAGGTGCGGCAGGAAGAGTCGCGCCTCCTCGGCCACGAAGCCCTCGTAGAGTTTGGTGCTCTCAGCGGGCAGAGAGGCGTTCAGGTACTCGGTGACCAGTGTCTCGGGCGATTTGCTCGGGTCGGGCAGCTCTCGACCAAGCAGCTCAAATAGTACTGCTAGCAGCGCTCTCTGGCGGAGCAGAGGCGTGAGGGAAGAAGGGTTAGGTACTGGTCCACCTTCTGACGGAGCGCAGGCGTGATTGATAGAGGACTAACCAGCAAATCGAAGGAGGGGGACCTAATGACCTCTGACGGCACAGACGTAAAATATGGATTTGTAGCCAATGTTTCAACGTATCTGTTGAACAGAATACCTTCATTCGACAGGGACATTCAGTGACATTCAATATGTAATTGAAAAACGGAGGCCGATTGCCCCATGCCAGAGCTCACTATCCGCCTTCCACTCCATCCATGATCAGACTCACCCTGATCACACTGACCGTCCACACTCATCCACACACTCAGTACCAGTCTGTCTTCCTCCCTCACCACCAGTCTGCTCCTTCCCTCTCCCTAGCATCCCTCTCCCCATCTACCCACTTCCCTCTCTCACCCTCAGCTCCGGCCGGTCCACGTGCAGTGAGTCGATCAGGGCCCGGAAAGCCACGGCGTGCTGTGAGCAGAGCAGCAGCAGGCCGGGCCACGAGCGTAGCAGCGAGAGAAGCGCCACCTGGGCCGAGCGGGTCACCTCCTCACCACTACTGGCGGCGCTGGAAGAGGAGGGACGGGGAGCGGAGGGGGGGAGGGGAGCGGTCAGAGGGGAGCAGTCAGCTGTGCCACCTGAGCCAAGCGGGTCACCTCCTCGCCACTGCTGGCGGCGCTGGACGGGGACAAGAGGCGGTCAGTGGGTGGACTTCAACCAGCAATGTCAACGAGATCGAACTTTATTACCTATATGGGCTTGACGGAGCACGGGCAGTTATTTTGAAAACGGAATGACAATGAGTTAGCTATGCCATTAACCTGTGATACCGGTGGTTGGTCGCCACTTTTGCCGATTTGCTGCAACCACCATAACTGATACAGCCCTGGATCAACGGATAAAGTACGCTAGATAAATATATTTTGATATAAAAAAATCATGATAAAAGTACTTTGTTCATAAGTTGACACACAGCCAGTTCTATTGCCTCATAACGTCCGTATCTCCCTGTCTGCGCCCGCTCACCCCCTGGATGTGGAGTCGGGCTCGAGGGCGTGGTGTCCGTAGTGCGGGTCTGCCAGGGGCGCCAGAAGCAGTCCCAGGTCTGGCCAGCAGCCAGCCGGCCGGGACAGCAGGCCGAACAGCGCCGAGAGCACGGCGTCGACGGCGCGCGGCTGGTAACAGTCCAGCACGGCTCGCAGCAGCACGTGCACGCCGCCGCAGGCCGCCAGCTGGTCGCTGTTGGCCGCCGCTGGACGGAGGGTCGGGGAGGCGGTCACTGTGACGGGCCGAGCTCGACACGACATGGCGACGGCAGGCGCAGTCAAACGAGGACCGGCATATCCGGACAATCCGGGCAATAATCGCAACTTTACCCGCGGCATGCCATTGCCAGAGAAGTCAATCAGAATACCGAGAGAAATCTGCCAGATCAATCAATCAAAATACCCGATAATGCGTGTAAAAGAGGTCACAACCCTGCAGATCACGCAGCAAGAATGACGAGGCGTCACATCGTTGAAAAACTAAAATAAATATATCTCACCCCTCCCCCCTCTACCAACAAAACTCGCTGATTCCATAACAGACCACACTCGATATATTTTGTCAATTACCGAATTATCGTAACCAGATAATCAAAGCATCCAGCAGCTCTCCACATCCCGCTCACCAGCCCCAGCGCCTCCCTCCCCACCCGTCAACCACTCACAGAGCTGTGTGACAGTGGCCAGTGTGATCATCCACAGCTTGTCTCGCTCCACGGGCCCGTCGGCGGTAATGGCCAGCAGGCAGCGGGTCAGGTCAGACGGGAACAGACTGGGCGCCACCGTCAGCATGGTGCGCGCCAGACGCAGCGCCTGAACACGCTCCACGGTGTTATCGAGGATCAGGTCCAGCGAGCGCACCATCAGCACCGGGATCTGACAGAGAAACATAACACGTACCAGGAATCAACACAGGGATCTGACGGGGAAACGTGACCAACCAACAGTCCGTACCATTAAAACTGGGACCTGACGAAAAAACATGACACATATCAGCACCATAGGAGTTGATGCGGAAACGTAACACACATCAGCACCAGGATCTGAAGGAGAAATGCGACACCATCATCCAGCAGCGTTAGGATCTGCCGGGAAAATGTTACATATCAATACCGGCAGCTGACGCCTGACGAGGGACGTCATATCACGCCAGCAGTATACTCGACTGAATTGACCTCCATCGGCAGCACCGACTGCCCTAGAGTGATTTTATCCCCAGTCCGTCCACCTCTGTGGGTGCAGGGTGCGAGCGGTGAGCAGTGTCCCACCGAACCGCCGCTGCCGTCCGTACCTGGAACCTGATGATGGAGCGCACGTCCTCGGGCAGTCGGATCAGGTAGCGCAGCGCCCGGTAGCCGGCGGCGCGAACCTCCTTCGTCTCGTTCACCAGCGTCACCCGCAGACTGACGGATCAAACATATCGGTTAGAGTGTGATGTGACATAGGTACATTTCGGCTCATCGGGATCAGATCTGATGTCAGTCAGTAAAGCAGACACGCTAAAGTCTGAAAAGTAACGAAACATAACATCAATCATCTAACCAAGTCACAAACTGAATCATCTCAATTTGGATTGCCCATTTCATATTTCACTAAGCAAAAATTCAGCAGCTACACCAACAACTCCACAGAGCCGATTGCGGCGGCGGCCGACTGACCAGTAGATGAGCTCCTCGCGCTCGATGGTGAGATCCTGCTGTGCCTCCAGCGCCGAGAACACCTTTACCAGTGCGTTCAGGTAGGCCAGTCGCTGGCCGCGGCTGATGCCCTCGCGCTGACACGCCCGCCACACGAACTCGACGATATTCTCCGAGGGTGGCCGAGAAAAGTCGATCCTGATCGGTTCCTCATCGCTGTCCCGGCGGCCTGAGGCGTTATGTGAGAGACAGGGGTGGTGTAAGTAAGAGGGGTGGTGTTCCTGGCAAGTGATGTCAGTACTCAGTAACACAGCTGCGGAGTCGGAGTCGGCCAGAGTCGACAATTGTAGCCGATGTTAGAGTCAGAGTCGATTTTGGAAACTGGAGCCGGAGTCGGAGCCGGAGTCACCGAAACCCCATCGACTCAGCAGCCATGCCAGGTCTGCAGAGTCGGAGTCAGTCGTAGTCGGCCATTCTGCGCGAAGTCAGAGTTGGAGTCGGAGTTGGTTTTTTGAAAGTCGGAGTCGGGGTCGGAGTCAAAGTCGCCGAAAATTCACCGACTCTGCAGCCCTGGTCAGTAGCGCTATCAGGGATGGTGTGGGCAGCAACAGATAGTGGCAGGGTCTGTGTGAATGAAGGGGTTGGTGATAGAACAAGGGTGGTGATACGTAGAAGCACCTGGGTATGGTGATAGCACTAATGTCAGGATCATTGTGAATAGCAGGGGTAGTGATAGTGTTAGAGTGATGGAAAGAGGTAGACTTGATGTGAAAACCGGGTGGAGTGGGGTACAAGAGGTAGTCCGTGATAGTAGCAAGAGTGGTGACTGGTGAGTATAAGGGGTGGGGTGGGGGGGCAGGGTGATGTGAGCAAAAGAGGTGATAGTACTAGGGGTAGTGGTAATACCAGGGTTAGTGACAGGACCAGGGGTGGTAATAGTGCCAGGTTCTGTTGATAGTAAGTGCTAGGGTGGCGATAGTGGCTGGAGTAGACTGTTAGTAGTATGGGTGATGATAGCAGCAGTATTAGTAGTGCCACAGGGAAGTGCTAGCTGAAGCAAGGGGTGGAATTAGTAAAGTAAGGGTGGTATGAGTTGCAGTACAATATGTGATGTTAGCAACAGGAAAACATGAGTACCAGAGCTGGTGTGAGTATCAAGGGGGGTGATAGGGACAGGAGCATTGTTTGTACCAGGGTGATGCACCAGGGATAAAGTGATAATGATAGTGACTATGGTAGTAACTATGCCAGAGGTGTCAATGGATGCAGGGGTGGTATGACAGGAAGTGCTGGCTTCAGTAGCATAGCAAGTTAAGAAACTTTGAGATTAAAAGTAACAGAAAATCATAACATCAAAACAGTAACATTTGGATTGGTATCCACCTAAATATTCTAACAAAACAATGGTATGCAGCATGAACAAATACAATAAAACCAGGGGGATGCTGGCATGCCATGGTAGGATCTAGCAGATGACCTGGTGGGGAAAATTTGTCTTTTCAGAGACAGTACTAGTAATAATTCAGTAGAACTGCACTATTAAATTTGATTTATAATGAGGATAATCTTATTACAGCCATGAGCCATGTGATATTTTCAGACACAAAGGGAATTACCTTCTCAATACTAGTTCAGAAATAAAGTAGCCTGAATTATTACATATGTGTTAATGTGTAACTGTGTTGCACCACATAATAAATCAACCCCATCCAAGTTAAACATAGATGTTTAAAATGAATGACTATGCTTCTTGATTTGCACTTTTTAATGTTAATGTCTTGGTGTAAATCATGTAGTCAGAGTAAGATGATACTGCATCTAGGTATTATCAGCCCCATCTTTGCCTGCTATCAACAAAATTATATAGCATGCTACGGTGAGAGCATAAGGTAAGATAATGCAGTATTTTATGCACAAACACTCCATTTTCCTCAAAAAAGTGCGTAATGTCGAGAAACTGTTATTTTAAAATGAAAAGCAGTACATTATCTAAAAATAGCTGATAACCCCGCATCAAAGGTTCCATAAAAAGGAAACCATTGAGGTACATAATTTTTACTTAGGTACAACCACATTGTTTCACATCAGCAATAGTCATATTTAAATGTTTTATGGCTGCAACTAGCTCTGCCGTGCAAAGCAAAAAACGCGTATGTCAAGGAAATTCAATTTTCAAAGTTTTGCAGAAGATAGCATTTTGCGTTTAGGTGCGATGTGCAAATTGTATGACACAATACCCGATGAAAGTTATACCACTGGAAACGAAATTGAATAAGCTTTTTAACTGTATAATTAAATAAGACATTAGAAATTAGATATTTGCTAAATAAGGGGCTGCTTTCATACGTTCTCCGTTTCTGTGCTTCGGCAGGAGGCTAGACAAAGCAAAAACCACGTATGTCGTAAAAAACACGTATGTCAACGCGAGTTTGCGTTCCATTGATACGGGGAGCTCGCCAAAACAACGTATGTGATACATGCGTGCTTTGCAGTGCACGTGGGACTGCCAAAATGCAAAACAAGAACAGCGTATGTCGGGACTTACGCCTTTTTTCCTTTGCTCTAGGCTGGAAGTTGGCGATGACATGCAACAAATTTGACATACGTAATGCTTTATTGGATGAGAGAAACGACGACTCGATAATAACATATAAACAAGATCCAGGACTACAGAGTCGGAGTCAGAGTCGTTCAGAGTCAACACTTCCGACCGACGATGGAGTCTGAGTCGTAGTAACCGGAAATTCATCGACTCCGCAGACGTGCCAGAGCTGCGGAGTCGGAGTCAATCGGAGTCGATATTTTTCAAGAGTCGGAGTCAGAGTCAAGCCGGAGTCGGAGTCATTGTTAATCCATTGATTCCGCAGCCTTGTATGAGACCAATGTCATTAATGACCAGTGGTTGTCTAATCGATCTGAATCGTAAATAATTGTCCTATTCCTGCATATGAAGATTTTATAAGTATGTAATTTAATTACGCATTAGCGAACGGTTGCTGGCATTGATGTGCTTCAAGCTGGAAGATGGATACGGGCACTAGCTTTGTGATCACCAAGTAGCGAGCTTACCCACAGACCACCTTCCGATCAGCGTGCCCCGGCTCCAACAGCAAGCCGTGATCACGGCTGTCAGCGCCGCTGACTGATCAAAGCCGAACTTGAGCTGTAACTAGACGGTATTCTAGAACGATCCAGCAGCAGCTGTACTGCAGCGGAGTGCGGACCAATGCATGGCGAGAGCAGGCGATGCAACACATTCTTTGCGAACCGAAACTGCAAGATCCAATACTCATCGGAAGTGGCCCAGCCGCGGCCCGGGGTTATCCGTGGGTGACCCACGATGGAAAGACCTAAGGCTTCGGGCGAAGAAATGCGCAGCTCGTTTGCTGTATGGTAACGGCACTAACTATTCCAGCGACAGCGAGCGGGAAGTATGGAACGCAAATGCTGAGGCAATGAACCCGATGAAACCAAGCCGACATGCTGTCACATGCGTGGGGTCTAAATTAGGTCCAGCAGGAACACCTCCGATGGTGATGGTCGTGATCCAGCGACTTGTGTCGCCACACAGACACAACCTTCCACCGTGAGGCAGCGCGTGGACACTGGTCTCATCAGCGAACATCCGTCCCGAAATCCAGCCTCTTTTACCGAACCACCGCTTTATCGGACGAGCCTCGTTATATCTACCAGTTACCACCTCACCTGATGTGGTCAATGACAACGACCTGTCGGCGGCACCGCAGACGCACGCAGGCGGCGCTTAAGCACCCTTGGAGACTGTGGATGTCAATACGTACTTACCTATGCTGACTGCAGTAAAGGTGCAGTGGTGTGGTCACAGCGAAATTCCAGCGGTTCCCGAGACACGCCCCAGGTTGACTTCGGCAAGTTCGTGGTGGTGAGACTTCGGCAAGTTCGTGGTGGTGATCGACCCATTGGTTGTGGTGAAGCTACGTCCCAAAGCGTTGAGGGCTGAGGCGGTATGGGGACCCGGCACTCGACGTTCTGATTCCGCTGGCATGGCACAGCGCCAGCTGTATATGTACAGCTCTATGAGCATTTGGTTGGTCAACCGAGGTGTGCTTCAGCACGTGCAGATTCTGACGAATATATCGGAAAACGCGGCAACTCGTCAACCGTCGCCGCTCAGCTTGTTCATGGCAACCGTGCACTTTTAGCTCTGGCATGTAAAATAAAGACACAATCGTCCGAAATATTCCATGGTCTCCCAGTCCAGGGCTGCGGAATCGGAGTCGACAGCTGTGACCGGATTCGGAGTTAGAGTCGATTCTGGATACCGGAGCCGGGATCGGAGTCAACGAAAATCCGTCGACTCCGCAGCCCTGCCAGATTCGCAGAGTCTGAGTCCGAGTTGGTTTTTGAAAGCCGAACTCGGAGTCTGAGTAAAAATACATCGACTCCGCAGCCGGCATGTCCGTCTGTTCAACTCGACTCAATTATGAAAACAAATTTTTACATGAATGGGACAATTATCTTTAACGTATGTCCTGCGATATAACAAAAGGCAAATGAAGAAAACACGTAAGTCAAACATACGTGAGATTTCGTTGCTTATTAACCGTCCAAGTGCCGCAAAAAAGCACGTATGTTTGACATACGTTGATTTACTTTGCAATGTTGCGGAACAGCCGTAAAATAATTGGTCCGTAAAACGCGTATGTGACATACGTGTTTTTTTCCTTTGCATTAGGCAAGGGAAGTAAAAAAGTGTCTTACCACTATAACGCGTAACTCTCGACATACGTGCTTTTCTACGGTCTTTTCGCAAGTGAACGATCAAAATGCAACAATTTCGACGTAACTCCAGTGACATACGTGTTTTTTCGTGGTATTTCCCGACACTAAACTAAAACGTATGTTAATTAGGGTTTATATGCCAAAATTATGCATTAAAATGTTTATTTTTGATAACATGTCCTACATCAGGTGAAAGAGCGCGAAAAAACCTATTGATCGATGTAAAAAAACAAAAATGCCAAAATTTTGACTTACGCGTTTTTTGCTTTGCACGGCAGAGCTGATTTATACTAAATTTTTAAAGATGAAATTTTCTTCAAAATAGAGAAAACCAAGCAATATGCCATCAAAAAACAACTCATGAATGGGTGTCAAGGGAGCCAATAAAAAATAATAAAAAGGAAAATGTTTCACATCGGCAGAATCTGCATTGGTTCACATATTGATATGTTTCATTAAAATTGAGATATTATGATGCCTGCCTCAAGGAGATATTGTGTTAAACCACAAATATGTGAAAATTTCCTGTGAAATAATGAGAAATGACATATTTTTACCATCATAAACACCGGCTAGAAGCAGTGCGACAAATATTGCGCTCTTGCTACAATAACAAACAAGGTTAATTTCGCACACAGAGGAACGCTGACTCACTTTAGGGAACATAAGAAAGTTGAATACGTGAAAATGTAAGATTTTACTTACGCCTGGTACTTTTCGGCAACCGCACATTCCTCATCCGACCCACGACCCCAGACATTTCCTTCCCCTCTCACACCCACATGAATGTAAACAGTCAACGATGTTGAAAAAGGCACGAAAAAGGGGCAGGCAAATTGGTTTGGGCTTAAAACACTGCTAAAAAAGCGAAACAAACATTTTTCACGGAAAGTGACAAACCAAATGAACATCTAAAGAAGCTACACGATTGAGACTATTTAACTCTTCATTTCGCCTGTTCAAGACCTACTCAGCCAGATAATAACCGTACGGTGGTGATTATATGGTTAATTATCTCGCGGGATTGGGAATCATGTTTCGAGCCACACGTCACAGGCTGAATCTTGATTTTAGCTACGATGCAACGGTATTTCTACGACTATGCTCATGTAAAAGCCGGTCATCTGAAAACATGTCGGGGGTATCGACTCTGTTGAAAACAGAGTCGGGATATCAGCCATGGACAAGCCGTTCCCATTTGACAAGAAAAAAGTGAGTGGGTGTCGTTATTCCGATGGGTGACCGGTACCACTCACTCACACGAAGCACCCATGCCACTCGGCGTCAGAACCCGAAACCTCAAACGTCAATGACGTCCTAACAACGGTCAATAACTGCTGGTGACAACCAGCTTTCAGACTGCTCAGACAAAAGATTTAGTGGGCACATTTCCAATGTATCAGCTGTATTAATCGATGAAAGAACGAATATTGAATAAGACTTCTTAAACGAGTACGCTGATCCTGCGCCAAACGTGAATAAATTGGATAACCTTCTCACGGAACGTAAAATCCCCGCACTGAAACTTAATCCACATAAGATGCGAGAAGCTCCGAGCACACCGTAAGCTATACACAACTTGTACGGTGTAAGATTAGGATCAAGTCACATGGTTTTACTTCAGAATTGGCTTGGCCAGGCTTGACACATCAAACATCCATAACTTTCCAGAAGCTGCAGTGGCGACCTGGGCCGCGTAATTCGGAGACAAGATACTCTCTTGTACAGCTAGCGGAGGCTTTCGACGACTCGGGTCGCTCGTCAGTAATGTACAACATCGGCCAGAGGTCACAGATGACGCTGCTCTGCGCGGCGTAGCATCTGGACCGATAGGTTAATTCGCATCAGACGCCATCATACACCACCTGACGTTACAACTTACATGGCGCTAACAGCAGCTGTCGCACCGCGCGCGCAGCACTCTGTTCAAATTCAAAACATTGAACATAACGCCCATCAATCCATTGCTCTACCGTTATCATTTGTACCAGCGTTTGCAGAACTACAGACGTGATCACGTTGCCAGAGAATCATGCTTCCAGGCCTCTTAGTCATAAGCACGCCTAGTGCTCAATACAGAGAACACCTTGAATTCAGCATGTGCCAGCCCATCATATTCTAACGACTACGCCTATCGTCCCGTACACAGGATTCTATATCGTTATCACGTCATGTGGCTTACAAGCATACATGGAGAAAGCGAGCAACACCACGCACAATTCATCATCAGGGACGCGCTGCAATCGCGTCCCGTCTGCGTCCAGATTACCGAGTTATCTCTACACAAGCCGCTGACAACACGGCCCGAGTGTTCGAGCGACATTTCACGGCCTGCCGCGCTGCGAACGGCGAGTCGTAGTGCAGACTCCTGCCATTACGCCCAGTGTTCACACTTAGAACGGCTAGAGGCGCCGGCACTGCTTCCCGACCAGTGCAGCAAGGACGCCCCAGCAGGCAGATTAAGTTTTGCTGCTCTCGGTGAAGCCCTAACTGGGCGTTTTCCCGCAGTTTTGCACACCTCACTGAACGTTTCCCCGCCAATAAGCATAGGTCACTGGGCATGTTCCCAACGTCTAGCAGTGCTCACTGCCTCACTGGGCGTTTTCCCGCTGTTCGGCTGTTCACTTGGTGTTATCCACCGTTCAGCACTTTTCACTGATGATCAGTACTGTTCACTGGGCGTTTTCCCGTCGTTCAGTACCGCTCACTGTGCGTTTTCCCGTCGTTCGCTGTTGCCGTTCTCCCGCGCCTGACGTTGTCGGATGTTCACTGCGTTCTCGTCGTCAAAGTTCAGCACCTGCGACAGCAAAGGAGTTTAATTAATTACCAAAAAGCAGCATATACTTGCACGCTGCTAAATACGCAGCACCTGCATCAAGTTACAAATCATGGACACTGAAATCCCCAATCTCCAGTAATATCAGTACGAAAGACGAACCCTCGTCCCTCAACCCGTACAAGTAGTTACTGTCTATAAGTGCTACCATCACAAGACCCAGCCAGACTCGAATCACTCTCCCTAGTACGAGACCTCGATCCTCTGGTGCTGGACCTCGAGCACCCGCCAGCCGTCCTGATAATGTCCTGGTAAGTCTCATCCGCCCGTCCTGATACCCATCCTCAGCTATACCCGTCCGTCCCGTCCACCCACCTGTCTCAGGCTCAGCCTGATGAGCTGCTTGTGCTTGTGGTAGATCTTCAGCGCCCCCTTGACGGCCACGAAGGCGGCGGCGCCGAGCAGCGTGCGCTGTAGCCGGCTGGGCACGCTCTCGAACAGCGCCTTGCCGGCCAGCGTGGCCACTGTGGGGAAGAGCAGCGCGCCGCAGAGCACGCGCGTCGCCGACGCCGGGTCGTTGAGCGGCAGCGTGTCCACGTACGGCTGCGCCGGTGAGACGAGCTGCGGGGGCGGCGGCATCAGGTGCTTCAGCAGCGGCAGCCGCACGGCGCTGGAGCGCAGGAAGCGCAGCACCGCCTCCTCCCAGCGCACCATCTTGGCCATGATGAGCAGCAGCGGGATGGTGGGCAGACCCACCAGCAGGAAGATGGGGTCGGCCTGCTCCATGGCGGCCAGGCCCTGGCGCGGACCCACCACCTGTATGGAGAGCGGGAACCAGCGTCACACTGAGAGAACGGACATTGTGTCGATATCGCCACATTTTCATGTGCTACACCTTCGGATCTCACCGTCAAGCACGGTGAGTTCTCCGGTTGAATAAGGAAGCTGCAAGTATGTCTGCTTGATTCGTACAATCCTGTTGTCCGAATAGCATCAAGACCTTATCCACGAGACATAACTAGGAATATATAATCATAAGCTGTTCTGGAAAACATACATAATTGCCGTATTATGAATATTAACTCGTAAGTGTTTACAGGACCTTACGGATTATCGCTATTACCGGGAATACATGAGTAAATATGCATTGTAAACTGATTTCCTCATGCGCTCAGCATTGTAATCTGCATGTAACACGTATTTTCATTGTTCATGAAGATCTGTCCCGTCTGCCCTCGGTCTCACCTGCATGACGGTGACAGCGCCGAACGTGACGGCCGTCCAGTAGACGGAGCCGATCACCACGCCGGCGGCCACGAACGGGCACGAGCGGCTGATGAACTCATCAATCAGGTCCATCACCATCACCACCGGACCTGCGCAGAAACGCGGACCGGGAGGGAGGCAGTGACAAGTCAACCATAGTTGCGGCAGCCGTCACCAGGGGCGCTGGGGTCGTGAGCGGCCGTGACCGCCCGCGGGTCATCAGTCTGGCCGCGTGCGAAAGCTTATGTGTGGAAGATCAAATTAAACATAATGACTAACGAGCAAACGATATCTCAAAGGCCATCAGGTAGTTACTAGTTACTATTTTGAACTGCTGCCGGTAGAAGTTCCATTAACAACCAGCAAACATTATTAGAAGGCTATAACTGAGGAAGCCCCAGTTTATCCAGCAGCCTCACCCATTTGTGGGAAGATGATAATGTACTCTGTGTTGCACTGCGGGCAGCGGACGGGCGCCATGGCGTTGCCTTGCTGCTTTTCGTCCACCCAGCGCTGCAGACACGTCTGGTGCACCTGACAGTAAGACAAAACAAACACGTCAACTCCTGCTTGTTTGTTTGTTCATTGACCAAGGGTCTACCGAATACAATGGGCATTTGCGTAAATAAATACGTCGGTTCACAAATAAGCACAAAGGTGGATCATTTTCACAAGCCAACAACTGACATTCCAACGTATGAAGTATTTCTGTTAACTTATGCATAAATGTTTATGAACTGTAACAACTATTTTAAAGTTTTATTAACAATTAGCTATGCACTAAACAGACGGAGTAGAATCGCCTGTTTCGAATTTCGATCTGATTTAAACCTCGCCCGTATAGGGGGCGATGTTCTAACAGGTCCCGATTTTCCGACTTTTGGATCATTGACCTGATCTGGAAGGTCAACCAATGACCGAGGACCTTAAAATTGGGTATCATCGGCTTCCTCTCGTCACGGGCAGCACACTCGTATTTTCCGCGAAGCTCTAGCTCGATCAGGGGCGAAACGGCAAGGGGGCGAACAGCGATTATACCCCGTACCTTGAGCTGACCTCAAGACCTTGACACCCACCATAACGCATGGAACAAACACTATTTCACATATTTGAAGTTGGAACATTTGCATCCACAAAAAGACTGGAGACGCGCAGATGATATGCAATATCACGCCGAATCGCGATTCTGGCCTGAGATAGCTTAGAGAAACAGGTCACAGGTCCAGTTCGTTTGGGTAAGGGTCATGACATTTTCAGAGTAGGTGTAAAATTGATAGGCTCGAGGGTACTAAAAGTTTCGTCACGATGGGCCGCTTTTTGAGCGAGTTATTCGCGAAATCGTGGGGAGGGGGGGGGGCGTTCAGACCCCCTAGGAGTGTGAGGGTTAAATTCCAAAAGCCAGTCCTGAGATCACTTCTAAAAAGATGATATATCCAGTTGGAGAATCTCAGCATATTCCTGTGACTGAATAGACCTGTATATCTTCGCGTCATCTGCAAACATTTTCATGTTGCTGCCCACAATGTCTGAAAGCTCATCTACAAACATAATGAACAGGACTGGTTCCTACACTGATCCTTGGACCTTGGGGGACCCCACTGATGACTGAACACCATTCAGAGTGATAATCTAATTCAGGTGTTTTCAGATTCAGATGATTCAGATGTTGCAAATCATTTAATTTGGCAGTTTATTATAAGCTCATTGGTACCTATATTTCCAAACCAGGCACATGCCTATCTCAAATTGGTCTGGAGTTATTACCAAAAATGGCTATGACCTAAACTGACTTAAGTGAGGTCAAGTAGCTTAATCACAAGACAGACATGTAAGACATGTCACACTAGATGTTAAAAGCAAAAAAAGAGCACATAGGCAGGCAAAGAGCACAAGCTATGAAACTATGATTATGAATGCTTAGCTGGGACTAGGTGTTTTTTTTTTGGGGGGGGGGGGCTAAGTAGGTAAGCAATTTTGATACCTACTTCCTTGTCAAGGTTTCAGGGGGACAGTAATTTCACTAACCAAAGATCAGGTAACATGAGTAAAATCTGTAATACCTATACAAATGGTAAAAAAGCTCAAAAGCTAGCTACTTTGCCTATTAACTCATACAATTCATTACCAACCAAAAGCTTTAAAAAAAGGTTTTTCACATTTTCAAATGTGAAAAACCTTTTTACCATGATGAGGTTTGTGTCGGAATATTGCAGCAGAATAGTTGCGGCATTTGTTGACATGGTTTTACATAGCCTTGGTTGACACCAGTGTTGCCGCTATGGTACGATTGTACCAGATCTGGTACATTTCAACACTTTCTGGTACGCTGGTACAATGAGGCCCAAATCTGGTACATTTCACGGTTTCGCGCAAGCATTTCTTTTTACGTTAAATTTATAGATTTCTGCCTCCAAAAATCAATCAGTATCAATATTAAAACGAATATGCTGTAACAGGAAGACCACCTAAATAAGCATCTTCCTAAGCATATTTCTGTAGTTCGTTTTTTTTTCAAAACCGGTTTGAATTCAAGTACATTTTTCGACTAAGCACGTAAAACGCGTACAAACGACCAAAAACTGAGCTTGAGAAAATCGAACGTCGCCTTATTTTAACATGTGATTTATTCCCGATAAATTCCATGCTGATGCGTACTTTTTAGAACTAAACATTGGAACAGTGATGTCATGTTGTCGAAGTTGCAATGTAATGTATAACCAGTATACCTATAACTACCATGGACAGAATTATTTACTCCGTTCTGACCTCGGTAACAATGAAACTGAAATTTTCCTCAAATTCGTCGACACATTAAGCCACCGTAGGGATATAAGCTGCCAGCTGCCACCAGTGACGTCATCATAGTATGATAATCTTTGAAGATACAATTTGCATGTATTTACCGAGCAAATTTGAAATTGAATATTTTACTGGTAAGAAATTATGAATTGGCCAGACGCTGAAGTTGCCAAAACTAACGTGAGAGCTTCGATAATCAACTTGGAGCCAAACCGCTGTTGAAAAAAAGAACTATAACTATATTCCTTAGCAATATTGTAGGCATGAGAAGTTACAATTATTGTTAGCCTGACTTACGTAACATCAATGCGGTTAAAGCAACTCATATTACGAGTATGAAGTGAATACGGACAGCAGATGTTGCATATCACATCCTGATATATCCAAATATGAGCACCAAACACAGAAATTGACCGGAATTTATATAGAATCTTGCTGATCTATGACGTTTTGATGTATTTTATACAATGGTACATAACTTGGTACATTGGCATACCCCATATGGTACGAAATAGGTTCGTTTTGGTACATTTTCACTCAGAATCTGGTACGCGTCGAAAATTCCCAACGGCAACACTGGTTGACACGGATTCAATAAACGTCACGTGCTGAGACATGGTGCCGAAACCACGTGGGACCTGGATTTGAACGTGGATTTGGATTTCTTGCGGATTTTGAATTTGAATTTTGATCAGCCGTGACTTGGAATATTGACCGCTTGTGATAAAAGCGTCGGAACATGGCCCAGTACGCGCCGCCGGAGAGATTTGACTTTGACCCTAAAGGCTGGTTCAGATGGAGAAAAATGTATGTGACATTCAGACTCCTCACAAAACTGGAAAATGAAACAGGAGCAATTCAGGTTGAGGTGGCCTCCCTAAAGTACTGTATGGGCCCGGAAGCTGAAGATATTATGGCGACTTTCAACCTGAGTGCGGAAAGTGAACAGGATTTTGACACTGTGATTGGAAAATTTAATGACTATTTCCAGCCCCGTAAAAACGTTCTGAGGCTGCGAAAACAATTCTCAAAACGAGTTCAAGCAACAGGTGAGTCCGTGGAGGAGTTCTCACGAGCTTTGCATGTCCTGGCAGCAGATTGTGAGTTTGGTGGGTCCAAAGAGGAGCGCGTTCGTGATCAGTTCATTCTCGGTGTAGCGAGCTCTGACCTGTCGGAAAAGCTTGAACTCCTTCACCTCACCAAAAGTGATGTCACCCTTGCGTCTGTCCTGGACTATGCTAGAAACTACTCCGATGTGAGGCAAGGACGGGCCGCTGAAGCCGCAGTCAATGCTGTGAGGGGGTCACAAGCCCAAGGGCAGAAATATGATGGCCAAAAGTACCCCCAGTGCAAGTTTTGCAAATTCAGCCATGACAAGGCCGGGACGCTGTCCAGCGTATGGGAAGCGGTGTAACAAGTGTGGCATGCTCAATCACTTTGCACGAGCCTGTTTGACCCCACAGCCACAGCAGCAGGAGATGAGAGGGTCACGGAACCCACAGCGTGGAAGAGGCCAGAGCAGCCGAGGACGCAGGATCAGAGAAGTGATTGAAGAAGATGAAGATGATGGAGAAGAGAACACTGGCATATTCCTGGGAGATGTCATGGAAAAGCCAGGTGAGGCTTGGATGACTTACCTCGAGATGTGTGGAGCTGTCATTCCATTCAAGGTTGACTCAGGTGCCGATGTGAGTCTGATCAGCAGAGAAACGTTCGACAAGATGGTCTCCAAGCCCAGTCTGAAGGCCCCGGAGAAGAAGCTGATGACGCTAGCTGGAAGACTGGAAGTGATCGGTGTCTTCCAAGCTGAAGCACGCAGCAAATCACAGAACACAACTGTCCTGATGGATGTATATGTGCTTCCAGACACCCCTCGAGGCTGTGGAAATCTGCTGAGCCGTTCCGCAGCCCAGACGCTCCGTCTGATTCAGTTTGTTGGAGCAGTGGAAGATGAAAGCCTGTTTGGCTTCGGGACATGGAACACCGACTCGGTGTCATTCAAGATGAAAGAAGACGCAGTGCCATATGCAGTGAGCGCTGCCAGACGGGTGCCCATCCCACTGATGGAAGCTGTGAAAAAGTCTCTGACGGAAATGGAGGAAAAGGGAGTGATCTCTAAAGTAACTGAACCCACGGACTGGTGTGCACCCATGGTGCCAGTGATAAAACCGCAAAGAGAAGAGGGTACAGGCGAAAAGAAGGTCAGGATCTGCGTCGATTACAAGCGACTGAACCAGAGCGTCAAGAGAGAAAAGTTCTCGCTACCCACGTTTGAGGAGCTCACAGGGAAGCTGGCTGGAGCCAGAATCTTCTCGAAGCTCGACGCAGCATCGGGATTCTACCAGATTCCGCTAAATGAGAGTGCACAAGCATGCACGGCCTTCATCACGCCTTTCGGCAGATACAAGTACCACAGGCTGCCGATGGGAATCACGCTCGCCCCCGAAATCTACCAGCGCAAGATGACCGAACTTCTGACAGGGCTGGAGGGCGTCATATGCTCGATGGACGACGTCCTCGTCTTCGGAAGGGACGAGAAGGAACACGACCAAAGACTCAAAGCGGTGCTAGAACGGATCAAAGCGAGCGGACTGAAGCTCAACAAGCAGAAATGCAGCTTCCAGAAACAAGAAGTAACCTTCCTGGGACACGTGATCACTGGCCAGGGTATCAAGGTCAGTCCGGTGAAGGTTGAAGCTGTGCTGAAGTTGAACCCGCCGACGGACGTCGCAGAACTGAGGAAGGTCCTGGGTATGATAACGTACCTGACGAGATTCATGCCGAACGCCCAAGCTGTCCTGCAGCCGCTGAATGCACTGCTGAAGTCTGATGCCGCGTGGACATGGGATGCGGCACAAGAAGACGCTTTCAAGAAAGCCAAGAAGATGCTGGCAGAAGCACCGACGTTGGCATTCTTCGATGTCACGAAGCCGACTGTGGTGTCTGCAGACGCCAGCTCGTATGGGATCGGAGGTGTCCTGCTACAGAAGCACGGAGAGCAATGGCGCCCAGTCGCCTACTGCTCTCGCATGCTGACGAAAGTGGAGCAACGCTGGGCGCAAATAGAAAAGGAGTGCCTGGCAGCTGTCTGGGCGTGCGAGAGGTTCCACACGTTCGTGTGTGGCATCGAGTTTGAGCTGCAGACGGACCATCGTCCACTGGTGCCACTGATCAACAAGAAGGACCTGTCGGACACACCGCTGCGGTGCCAGAGACTACTGATGAGGTTCGCCAGGTATGCCCCTACCGCTGTCTATGTTCCAGGTCGGAAGCTGATAGTGGCAGACCTCCTGTCGCGCCATCCGCTGCAAGGCCCGCCTGGAGGAGTGGCGGACGAGTTGCAGCGTGACGTCGATGCTCACGTCAACTACGTGGCGTCCCACCTGCCAGCGTCTGGAGATATGCTTCAGCTGATCCAGACGAAGCAGCAGGAAGACCCCGAGATCAAGCAAGTGATCTACTACACTCTACATGGGTGGCCAGAAAACCTCGCGGAACTGCAGGTCGCAGGATCTCTCGCCGTATTACGAGGTGAGAGGCCATCTCAGTGTCCTGGGCGTGTCTCTTCTGATGTTCGATGGCAGAATAGTGATCCCAGAGTCGTTGAGAGCCCAAATGCTGCAACGGATCCACGACGATGGGCATATGAGTCTCTCAAAGTCCCGCGAGCGAGCGCACGCCTCGGTGTGGTGGCCTCGCTTGAGTCCTGACCTCAAGAGTTGGATAGGATCATGTAGATTCTGTCAAACGAACCGTCGAGCTCAGCACGCAGAACCCATGGTCTCCAGGGGACTGCCAGAGCGTCCGTGGATGAAGATCGGTGCGGATCTCTGTCAATATGGCTCACAGATGTATCTGATCGTCGTGGATTATTTCAGCCGGTGGATAGAGATTGAACACCTCAGAAGTACCACCAGCGCGCAGGTGATCAACCACATGAAGTCGCTGTTCGCCAGATGGGGCATCCCCGAGGAAGTACGGTCAGACGGTGGACCTCAATTCACTAGTGCCGAGTTTGCTGACTTCGCGCGGCACTACGGGTTCCTCCACACTCTGTCTGACCCGTACTGCCCCCAGGGAAACGGCGCGGCTGAGCGAGGCGTCCAGACTGCGAAGAGAATCATGGCTCAGCCAGACCCGTATCTCGCGCTTCTGACGTACCGGTCAACGCCGCTCGACGTCACAGGATGCACGCCGTCCCAGCTGATCATGGGCCGCCAGCTTCGATCGCGACTACCGACGACTAAGGCCCATCTCGCGCCACGCTGGCCAGACATGGCTCACATCGCTCGCCGGGCGGACGAAGCCGAGCGCAAGAGCACTGCTGACTTCAACAGGAGGCATGGAGTCAGGCCGCTGCCTGCTCTTCGGCCCGGTGATGTCGTCCTCACCCGCCTGCCAGGAGAGCGCTGCTGGACCGATCCCCAGCAGATCATCGGTCGAGCCGGTGAGCGGACGTATCATGTGCGTAACCGCCGAAACCTGCAGCCAGTCGACGTTCCGTACGTCCCGGACACCCGCCGACCGCTCGCCCATAACGGAGACGGTCACATGACTCCGACTCCAGCGGCCACAGGGGGAACGGAAGACGAGCGGCCGCAGACCCCGCGGATCCAGAGGTCGCCCGAGCAGCCGTCGCCGCGGACCACAAAGCCAGCTCCGCCCCCGTCGCGTCAGCCCGCGCGCCCAATCCTGACACGATCGGGACGCGCCTCGGTGGCCCCCACGCGTTTGGATCTGTAGAGGGCCGCTGTGTTGTGCCGATGTTTAGTTCAGAGCCGGTGTCGTTTGCGTAGAAAGATGTGTCTCAGTAAAAAGGGGGAGATGTGTCGGAATATTGCGGCAGAATAGTTGCGGCATTTGTTGACATGGTTTTACATAGCCTTGGTTGACACGGATTCAATAAACGTCACGTGCTGAGACAAGGTTCACAAGGGTGTAATGAATTGACAGCCAAGTAAACAGCTGAGGTGAGGTTAAAAATGGGCTAGATTCTAAAATGTCAGGCTTAAGTCAAGGGTCAGGTAAGCTGAAATACAGCTCAGTGAAATATCCTGAGCAATCCTGGAGAAATCATCTGTTGCAGAACCACACACTCCCTGGCCAGAGAGCCCCTCCCCATCCATTGCACATAGCAGACTCCAGAGAGATGTCCAAACAAGGATGCATACCCATTTTGTAGTTCCTCTGCATCTGCAGGGCTTCACCCACAGGGCCATGCGGTCATCTTCATCTGATGCAAAGCACACCCAGCAGTTCCTCCTGCAATAAAGGCAGAGTTTAGACTCTGAAAACCCAAAACATAGATATTTAATGTTAGCGTTTATCAGATTTCCAAAAACTTCTTGGAAATCCCTCCTTAGAGCATCTTGCTCAGCTGTGCAGTTTTGGGTCAAACTGAAGATTTCTTTCTATGTGAGGAAAACTGCAAAAAGTTGTCAACATCAAGTACCAAGGGTAGGGTCAGCGGGGTAAAGTTTAAATGCCTCAAATTGAAATGCTCCCCTTGGCCTTGGTTCCGCAACTGAATTTACTCCATGCACTGGAATGTTTTGAGGCTACCAATGACTAGAGAATGTTTGCAATTAAGACTAACATAGCTATGGCAATTAGAGGCAACCAACCATTTATGCTTCAAATTAAGGTTATGATCGTATAGGATTGAATCGATAGTCAAAAGCATTATCAAACAACGAACCTGTCCTCTTCGTTTCCGGTGCTACTGCTTTTGGATGCATGTCGAGTTGCTCCAGACATTTCGGAAAACACGGAGAAAATAAATGGGAAAAGTCTGAAATATAGCCCGACCACCTTTATTTATTCAAAAGCGAGTTCCGATGTATTATCAATCTACGTTTTAATCACCCCTATGTGTGGTGATTTCTTCCCGAAAGTCTGTTGTTTACAGTTCAATAAGTCTATGCACACGTTTCAATTTAAATGACGTCATGCAAAATTATGGCCGGACTGGTTATTTTAAAAGTTGTTTGGGAATAAAAATGTCAAATTTACTCTATTACTCGTTTTTTTTGTAAGAAATACACAAATTTTGCAAGAAGCAAAATTATTTTGAAATTGATTCGATGTTTGAATGAACATTCAATTATTTTCTTTTCGTTTGATGACGTCATATTATTGCGTGATTCAATAAAGACAGTTTGTGTGATGCAAAACCCTGGACTTGTAATAGTGGTCATGACCACGAATTGATAAGCTGAGGGAACACATAATGATAATGACATGAGTATTGAGTAATTATCTAGAGTTACTACACTTCACATCACATTTTTCTGCTTTGCTAATGTCTTTGAAGCTTTATCATCGATGCTTTCCGTGAATTTTAAAAATGGACTCTTCTTAACCATTTTCCGCCGGGTCACGATGCACATTTGGGGCAAGCGATGAGTGGAGTAGCTAGAGACAGGGGTGGAGATCTGTCAAAATTTCAGGGAGGGGGGGGGGTCCAGGCCGGGCAGATGGAGACGGGCTGGATGCAGTACCATTGACTTAAATAGCAGTAATTCATTTTCAGGGGGGTCCTGACCCCCCCCCCCCCCCCGAGATCTCCACCTCTGGCTAGAGAGGCTAGATAGATATACGCGGCGTAGGCTGATGCTGGCTGAAGAAGAGGCCTCTTAGAGTTAGGACGAATAGAAAAGAATATCAGGCTGGCTAAAGTTACATCCACCATTCCTTGATCAACTCCCAGTTACCACCGGCACCACTCCTCTAGTTAGGCTCGAATTCATAGGAATGACCGCTGGTATTTTCTAAACACTTAACTCCACAATCTTGCGAGAAATCTGAACTCCGAATAGAACCAAGCCCAGTGGTCAGATGCAAGTATCATCCACCAGCAAAAATATTACCACGGGTTTTTGCCCGAGAAGAGACATGGAGGGTGCAGCCAAGGTTACCTTACGTGGCAATATTTCCATACCTCGCCACATAATTCCACCGTGGCGCCACTTCCGTGTCATTACATGCTTGTTTATGTCAGTTAATGTCTGTATACATCTGGGATTTATCTTGAACATTCCATCTGATTATATAACACTCGCGCAGTGCTGATTTCGGATGTAATACGAAGTGACAAACTCACAGTCCGACGCTCTTAAAAAGATCGCATGACGTCAGAAATGAGACAAGAACGCAGACAGGTGTGGTTTCGCGAAAACATCCCACACCCCGTCCCCGTCTCGCGACAGATGTACCCGACAAACAAACACCCTCTAATACAGGATAATGTATTCATTTACATATTCGAATCACATGAGGGCGGCTGATATCGAAAATTAACAATAAAGCACTGGCTGCGGCCCCGCTCGCTTTTCACGCCAAAGCCAGTCTAGTCTCGCGCCATGATCACCTTCGCTCCTCTCATCTCGGCCGCTCTCTCTCTCTCTAGGTGGAATGGCGGCCGGCACCACACGCTATAAATTGTGTAAGAAAAGGAATCAGTCTCAGCCACGTCAGCACGGTCCGGTCGGCTGTGCCGGCGTCCGTTTCTGCTAACAGCAGCTCACGACATGGTGCCGAACACGGGGTTGTGCCGACAGATGCTCGGCCCGTACTCTTCGTACTGCGCCTTGGTGTGGCACACCTGGTAAAACTCGGGCTGCCGGAGGAGAACGGGGCGGGGACGAGCGTCAGAGCAGGAAACTGAGCGTCCGGGCACGGGGTCATGCGTCAAAAGGCATAAATCAGGGCACGGGGCAGAACGTCACGGCAGGAGGCAGAGTGTCAGTGCAGCGGTACAGGGCGGTAAGACAGGGAGCACAGCGGCAGGGGCATTAGCGCCAGGGAAGGGGCAGAACATACGCCAGGGGCATAGCGTCAAGACAGCGGGACAGGGCGGCAAGACAGGGAACAGAGTGGTAGTGGACATTAGCGTCATGGCAGGGGGCAGTGCGTCAAGGGTCATATCGTTAGGGCAGCGGGACAGAGCGTTATGGCAATAACCATGAAGGTGCGGTCCCCTTCTTTGTCCCACGAAACACCGGGGAGCGGCCGGGTACAGAAAATGAGGAGCGACCGAGATTCACGGAATGGGGAGTGGCTGAGATACACGGAGATATGTATATTTAATTTTACGGCAGGCCGCCTTTGCTTTAGATACGCCTTAAAACAGCAACAACAACAGCAAACAAAACTTGGCTTCAAAGTTTAACGATGCGAGAGCGTTAGATATAAGTTGACGAACGTCTAACTGACAACTGTGCCATAATGCTGATAAAAACGATATATTTTCTTCCTTCAAAGGGAGGGACATTGGTAGGAACAACACAGGGAGGGGCGCTGAGGATGCCAGAGCGCTGGGGAGGGAATGGAGTGTCCGGGAGGACGCTCACTCACCGTGGAGGCCAGCATGCTGCCGCCGAACCAGACGGCGTAGCGCTGCATGTGGTGAGAGATCACCTGCACGTCCATCGGCTTCGGCTGTGAACAGGAGCACGGGATCGGGGAGTTAGACAGCAGATCATATGGACCTCGGGCCACACCGCAGATAAACGGATAGACAGACACACTTCGGCTGTGAACCGGGGTTCCGGCGAAGGGGTTACAGATCATACACTATTATACGCATACTGGCCAGACCTGAATGACCGGACCTCAGATCACACCAAAGATAGACAGACAGATAGAAAGACTTCGGCTGTGAACAGTGCCTGGGACAGGCCCGGTCACACCTGAGACGATTTCTGACTGGAGTGCTGCAGCAGTTTCACATTCCATAAAAAGATACTCAGTTAAACAGCATGCATATCATCCATGGGATGAGCAGTAAGGTCCAATCAATCCAGCATATTAGCATGATCATTCCCGAACTACATCGTTGCACATTTTCAGTGACTGCCCGGTCTACTCAATGCCTCGAGACAGAACATCCCCAGCCGTCGTCATCCCCCCCCCCTCGTTCCCCATGTCCCCCGCGGCGTCCACTGACCGTAATGCGTCCCTGGCTGAGCGCCTCGCTCAGTTTGAGCCGCGCGTCCACCTGGCGCTTGACGTCACGCTGCAGGCGCCGACTAAAGTCGCGGAACATGGTGCTGCCGCCCGACAGCACAATGTTCTTGTAGAGCGGCCGGCGCACGTCGATTGGGCAGCTCTGGATCACGTTGTCGACAATCTCCGAGATCGGCGTCGTGAAGTCGGGGTTCGCGAACTGCCGACAGACGTACGGGAGAAGAGTGTCAGAACTCAGAGATGCGACTTCTAATGTCAGTCCTCTGCGAGCTAAAATAGCCGGCAAAATCACTTTACTGGAACATATGCAGTAACATGCAAGACGTGAACGGCGGCAATACGATGGGAAAGACAACGTTAGACGATGAATTTTATATGCCAATGGCGAAACACCAAAATGTCCACAACCGCGTACAAAGCAGTCTGTTTACGCGTTTATCACACTAATTTTTATCTGACAGGCTAATATTAGATTCATGAATAAGCCGGGAAATCATATGTTTGATATCTTATCAGATATTTGTTTCTGGTTCCAAATGTTCACGAGTACAAATCACGCAGAAGCGGCCTTTGTCCAACACCAGCCATACAGGTAGCGTCTCGGAGCACGTGTCATCAGTCACCCGGACACCCCTACCTCCACGTGGAAGATCTCAGACTGGTCAACGGGACAAGCCCCCTACCTCTGGATGGAAGACCTCTCAATCGTCCCCTACCTCTGGATTGAAGATCTCACACTGGTCAACGGGACACCCCTACGGTCTACCTCCGGATGGAAAGTCTCACTGGCCATCGGACCACTCTCCTACCTCCGGATGGAAGAAGATCTCGGGTCCGAGGAAGCGCTCGTAGCCGACGTCCACCTCGAACGGCTGCCTGGTCACCGAGTTGACGCCCTGGTACTGCTTGATCCACTTGGACGGGTCCGCGTCGTACTTGGCGAACTCTTTGGCGATATCCGGACAAATGTAGGAGAACCTGGAGGCGAGACGCGATGGTGATCGCGAACGCCAGAGGGGCAGGGCGCGCCGGACATTAAATATAAGCCAGCAAGTTCTTTGGGAACGGAACCGTACGTAACGCAGTGGTTAGTGAGGCACACAGTGTTGATGGATTGGTGTGGTCAGGAGTGAGGACCGTCAATGTTTATTATGGATCGAAATAGGAAATCGGAGTCGAGTCCAATAATAGTCTTAAAAACATACCTCCCCCTCTTCCCACACACACATGACGTATACATATGTACATCCCTTTCCGCCAAAGAACATTTCAGATTCTGCACGATGTAACTACAGGATGTCCCAAAATTGATGTCACACCCTCTCACAATCTTCATTTTTCCTTCTACGGCGCAATATCAATTTGATTTCGCCGGTACTGGCTCCCAGACCATATTGGTTACATTCTAGTCACGTGACCTTCAAATTGTTGTTACCCTGACCGGTCAAGGGGTGTACGGAGGTCATTTCCTGGACAGTACCCAGCGCGCGCGGACCAGGTGTCCAGGATGGCAAAACTGCAGAGTAAATCGTCCCGCAGCGGGACAGTCGGCATGATTGCCGGTGGCATGACCCACGGCCAAGTCGCCGAGACACTGGGCATGAGTTGCCGCACGATTTGGCGCTGGTTGTCACGCGGCAGAAGCTGATAGACGCCCGCGAACAAGCTAGGTCGCGGCAGCAAGACTTCTGCCAGCCGGGTAGTGCAGCTCGTCATCGCGAAGTGCGGAGCTAAATACGGGCTTATCAACAAGAAAACTGGCAAGGAGGCTGATTGCCAACAGTCATCCAGTCTCCAAGCTGACAGTTCATCGGTACTGGAGGCTGTTTCTAAAGCTGAGGCTCACCAAGCCACGTTTCCAGCCGAAAACCTCTGCTGAACATGTCCAGGGCCATCTTTCAACAGGTTGGCGTCCCGGCTCATCGAGCTAGAACGACGAAGGACTGGTGCAGATCGAACTTCCCAGCATTCTGGGAGAAGGACAAATGACCGGGAAATAGTCCCGACCTGTCGCAGATAGAAAATCTTAGGGCGATCGCTCGGTAAGAGGTGATCAAAATGGCACCAGAATAATCTGAAGGCACGCTGACCAGGAACGTTCGATCTGTGTGGTCCAAGATCAGTCCACAGAAGCTGGACATGTTGATGTCTGATGTCCCGGAACGTATGCTTGCCCGTATCACGGAGAAGGTGCGAGTGCGATACATATATAAGAAAAGCGCACCTCTCATGTTTGTTATTTTCATGCAATTGACGCTGGATAGGTGTGACATTATTTTTGGGACACCCAGTATGTCAAATACAGAAGCCACCGACAAGTCGGTATTTCCCTCATCCTGATTGCAAACCAGAGTGACTGTGACTGACTGGGCCATGAGACAACAGTATTTGTTCAGTGACGACAGCAGACACAGACAGATGATAGCAGTCAGACAGGTGATAGCAATGTTGACAGTCGTTCAGTCGTATATAAATATGCTGTCAGTCGTCCACTCAGTCCTCAGTCAAACGGCCGGCCTGCAGTGACGGCGTGCCGTGCCGATACCCGTGTGGCCGGCGTCGGCCGCTGCCCTTATCGGCTCCTCCCTTCCTGTCCCGGCCCACCGATACGTCCGGTGTCCGCAGCCGGCGACTCGCCCGCTAGGAAAGGTTATACAATCTACGCCACACTTCGCCGGCCGGGGACAATTATATAGCACCAAATATCGATAAGAAAAACACCATCCCAGTCACCGAATGTCACACATCTAGCCTCTAGGTTACGGAGCACCATACATGTCCGGTCAGGGACGAGTACAAAACAGCGCTGTTTTACGATGCCTAATGTTTCGAATGCACCCGGCCAGCATGGAACTCCTCAGTAGAACCCATCCGGTGTGCTACTAACCTCTGCCGCCTCCCCCACTGTCCCAGCAGTATCGATTAGAACAGCACTGGGCGTCCGGCGGCACTCACCTCTCCTTGATGGCTTTGGCGGTCTCGAGCGACTGCTCGGGCGGCACGCCGACCTCCCGCTCGCGAAGCAGCGACTGAATGAAGTAGGTGATGTTGCGTCCCGCGATCGGGATGTGCTTGATGCAGCTGCCGATCACGTAGCCCTCCGCCTGGAGTCGGGGGAAAGGAGGGTGAGCGAGAGAGGGTCAGAACACAGAGTCGGGGAAACGGGAAAACGAGAGCGAGTCAGAGCTCAGAGTTGGGGGACACGGGATAACGGGAGAGAGTTAGAACTCACAGCCGGACCAAACACAGTCGGAACTTAAGTCGGATCCCACAATGACATACACTGCACGAAAATCCCAAAGAATTGAGACAAATGGACGACGTGAGGATATTAGCCATTTTATCCACGTAGTTATTACTCACCACGGGGATAACGTGGGTGACGCCGTCGCCACTGTCGATGACGGTGCCGGTGAGGGTGCGGTCGCCCACCTGGCGGCTCGTCCAGGACGCGGCCAGCGCCAGCACCGCCTGCACGGCGATGTACAGGCCCGGAACGTTGAACGACTCGAACATGATCTCTGGCGGCCGGACGAGACGGTCAGAGGGTGGCCACAGCGAAGGAGCGGTCAGCGGGGCCTAGACAGGCCGGGCGGGGAGTGGTCAGACAGCAACAGAGATCGGCCAGAACAGGCGTCCCAGATAACATCTGACATTGTTTTCACAATCCTTACCAACACCGAGCCCATTTCTACCTCGTCTAGCCGCGAAGACTGGGATATCCGCCTGCTGCGTGCTTCAACGCCCACCTGAGGTGTACCTGCACCGAACACCCATCAACGGTGTTCTCGGACACCCACCTGCGGTATACTCGCGGTTCTCGGGCGGGTTGAGCGGCGGCTCTGTGAGCAGGAAGTAGTGGTCTTCCGGCTCAGCCCGCAGGTATTTGAAGATGGACTGCTCCCAGAAGCGCTCCATCAGGTCCCAGTCCTCGATAATACCGTGCCGCACTGGGTACTGGAGACAGACGGACGGCCGACGGTCAGCGACGCATCGCTCACGGAGAACATTCGTAGACTATTAAATTGTTTTTACTTTAACCACAGACCTTTGTACACCAGCCTATGCTTTGTGCAGAGGTCACCGCTGTACAGAGGTCTATACTTTGACGAATCTCAGGAGAAAATTAATTAACTTTAACAGATTGTTCATGTTACATAACAGCTTGTAGTAGGCACTATACTATTAACCACCAGCTGACGCCACAGCCCACACTGATTATAGCTGGACTCACCTTGATTGCATAGCCGGTGGCGTCGAACGCCTCATCGCCGATGAAGAAGTCGAGATCCTCGACGCCCTTGCCGAGCCGTCGCGCCGCCTGGTCCCCGATACGGGCCGACTCGCGGATGGCGATCGCAGAGGGAAGGATGAACTGGGGCTCCTTGTTACCGGCAAAGCCCAGCTTTGTGTATCTGCAGCACCATGGGTATCAGCTCAAAATAATACCAATGCCGATAGGACAATACCTAGTCATACAGTCATGAAAGGAATGGTGAACTGGACACCATCAAGATCATGCAGCAGGTTCACAGGACCTTTTGGAAAAAGCAGTGCTTATCTTGACTTTTCAATCCTCTTACTTCTAACAGCTTTGTTATATGAGCAATGTAAGCATAAAATGTTATTTACTATGTACTTAGTGACACCAAGAACCAATTCATGTCAATCATCGTTGGCCAGAAGACAAACAATTAGAGGCTGTTTGACATACTGACATACTATTAGATAAGCCTGGTTGATATAGATGGGGCATCTGGCTATCTGATAGATACAATATGCAACAATCTAGGGAAACTGATATGCACAATGAAATCCCTTTGAAACTTTTCTGTTGCTTTTGTGGGCTGTTGCAAAAGGCAACAGTTATCAATCCAGAACATACATTTTATTTATTTGTAAAAAGTCATGTCTTGCTTGGATCATCTCCATGGTGAATGTTCAGTCAAATGATCCGATACTTTTGTGCTCTCACCATTCTCCTCTGGAACTTATGCCCACCATGTGGTGTGGTGGTAAGCTCAGATCAAAGAGCCCCACCCACACTGCGACTGACAATGGGCAATGTTTGTTAGTGAGCTGGAGTGTCCTTTGAACCTGAGTTCCCACCACTTCTGCTATCATTTCCTAATGGCTGCTAGGCAAGGAGAACCCTACCAGGTGAGATGACCAGGTGAGAAGAGACAGTAACTGTCATGGACTCTGGAGTTGGACAGGTAATATCCACATCAATGCAAATATTGATGAATGCCCATTGCCCAATTCATAGTTCATTCAGGACACAGTCACTGGTAAACCTGTAACGTGTTTTGTGTGATGTCATTGTGTGAATAGCAGCCTTTTTCTGAGGATATCTCTTTTAGATAAGTTAAGATTAGGGATAGCGGGCTGATTTAGGCAGGCTATTAGGTGCCCACATCGTAAGTACTTGGAGACTAATGATCAGGATTCAGACAGATAGGATAGCACCACTGGTACCCATTTTTCAACTTATCGAGCTGTTTCTTGAAAATGTTTGTTGTATCTGCCTCTACCACTCCTGATGGGAGGCTATTCCAAAGAGGGACCACTCTGTTTGAGAAGAATTTTGCCCTTGGTAACTATAGGTATAACTATATTGTTTTGGGACATTTCGTAAGATTTGGAATCACTTTAACAAAAAGCATTATTTCAATATCAAACTTAAAGGGACACTCCCACCTTAACATTAGTTTTGAGTTGAGATAGCCAAATTGGTGGCCATGGCCTGCAAATACCGGTTTGGGCACTCACAACATCGACAAATGCTTTAATTTGGAGATATGGAATTTCAAACTTGCAGTTTTCGGATTCTAAGGGGCTAGTGCATTGGTATGCCCCCTTAGAATTTGTGACGTCAGCGGAGATCTAACGATTTGTAAATCTTTTACTAAAACGTTTGGTAGCACGCGGTGGTATATGCTGCTTTGCGCGCAACAAATGCCGCACTTTCAAATAAAGTCTCTAGGAACAGCGGAGATCCCAAAAAGTAAACAAAAGTAGAAGTCTAATATCTTGAAAACCGGTGAATATTTTTCGATGAAATTTGGTAGATATTCGTTTTCGCTCTTTCTGAACCAAGCGACATCACTTTCGTGCCAATTCATTAACTTTTTTGAAGGTGGGAGGGTCCCTTTAATAAATATTTTTTACCCTAAAAAAATGCACGTCAGTATTCTCTTGTGATGCCACCTAGTATTTATGGTAGTCATAAAGCAGGCGTCACACTTCCGTGTTAACGGCCGGAGGTCCGGTGACGGGCTGTGGCCTTGAGACGGCCGCCGGTTTATTACGTCACAAACGTACTATCGATGCAGAGTTTTCTATCGATGTGAGAGCTTTGATTTACGGAGCGGGGAGATGAAAATGACCAGCGCACAGCGGACGCAGGGAGAGGAAAGGATAAAAAAACTTGGTCACAGCAGCGGACTCGCTTCGAATCCGAAGGTCACCGGTTCGAATCCCACCATGCCGTTCGATCAGCGGCCTACAGTCGCGAACTTTTTTGGGTGTATGCGTGCTTTTTTTGTGTGTAGAGGGCTGGGATCGGCAGTGTTGAGGGTGCTAGAGCTCACTGACTCGACCCCAATGCAGAGATCCTGGGTTCGAATCCCACCACGGCGTTACCTAAGCGGCCACTTTATCGTAGGTACTTTTTTAGTTTTATAGGATTGGGATCGGCAGTGCTGAGGGTGCTAGAGCTTACTGACTCGACTCCAATGCAGAGGTCCCGTGTTCGAATCCCACCATGGCGTTGCCTCAGCGGCCACTTTATCGTATTTTTTAAGTTTTAGAGGGCTGGGATCGGCAGTGCTGAGGGTGCTAGAGCTCACTGACTCGACTCCAATGCAGAGGTCCTGGGTTCGAGTCCCACCTTGGCGTTACCGAAGCGGCCACTTTATCGTAGGTACTTTTTTAGTTTTATAGGATTGGGATCGGCAGTGCTGAGGGTGCTAGAGCTTACTGACTCGACTCCCATGCAGAGGTCCCGGGTTCGAATCCCACCATGGCGTTGCCTCAGCGGCCACTTTATCGTACTTTTTAAGTTTTAGAGGGTTGGGATCGGCAGTGCTGAGGGTGCTAGAGCTCGGTAACGCCGTGGTGGGACTCGAACCCAGGACCTCTGCATTGGAGTCGAGTCAGTGAGCTCTAGCACCCTCAGCACTGCCGATCTCAGCCCTCTAAAACTTAAAAAGTACCTACGATAAAGTGGCCGCTTAGGTAACGCCGTGGTGGGATTCGAACCCAGGATCTCTGCATTGGGGTCAAGTCAGTGAGCTCTAGCACCCTCAACACTGCCGATCCCAATCCTATAAAACTAAAAAAGTACCTACGATAAAGTGGCCGCTTAGGTAACGCCGTGGTGGGATTCGAACCCAGGATCTCTGCATTGGGGTCAAGTCAGTGAGCTCTAGCACCCTCAACACTGCCGATCCCAGCCCTCTACACACAAAAAAACACGCACACACCCAAAAAAGTTCGCGACTGTCGGCCGCTGATCGAACGGCATGGTGGGATTCGAACCGGTGACCTTCGGATTCGAAGCGAGTCCGCTGCTGTGACTAAGTTTTTTTTATCCTTTCCTCTCCCTGCGTCCGCTGTGCGCTGGTCATTTTCATCTCCCCGCTCCGTAAATCAAAGCTCTCACATCGATAGAAAACTCTGCATCGATAGTACGTTTGTGACGTAATAAACCGGCGGCCGTCTCAAGGCCACAGCCCGTCACCGGACCTCCGACCGTTAACACGGAAGTGTGACGCCTGCTTTATGACTACCGTATTTATCACCTTGAGTTTATTCATCCGAAGATTGGGCACCTAGGTATGCTGATAATGTTGAAGATAGCCAACCCCATAATTATAAACACAATTGAATCTGATATTTTAGATGCAGTTATAGCTAATTTCATTAGAAATTTCATTAAAAAATCTTCAGTCAAAAATGAAATAACTCACCCGGTTCCGTTATCAATAACGCAGGCCGGTAGCCGACCGGTCATTGTAGCAAGGCGTTGACTCGACGACAGAAAACAATAAAACAGTAGGCAAACAGTACTGTGTCTATTCAAACGATGAATAGACCCTTTGTTGGTCCGAAAATACCTTTAATGAGTCATCAATCAAATATGAAACTGAAGAGGAACCCCACCAATTACGGAAAATGCTAATGGGTGCGCCCTCAAGTGCGCCCTAGCTTCGTTATTGCTTATCAGTCAACAATTTGATTCTGAAAAATGTGTTCACAAAGCCGCTAAATGTTCACTACTTATGCCAAAGAAGGGTCCTGAATGGTAAACTTTCCAGTAGCGCTCACGACTGTATGTCAGCAGCAGAATAGAACAGTTCTTATGAAAGTGGAAGGAGTGGCGCAGTTCTGCGCTGTTTTTGCAACAAGGGGAGTGGCCCCTAAAATGCTGCAATAAGCTATGTGAAGGCCTAAAAGGGACAAAACTATTCGACCGCCACCCTTGCAGCCATTCTATAACTCAGGAACTATACTGGCCCGATCGGAACGAACGAAACACCATTCGAATCAGGGGGTACGATTTTATCAGCCGTTTCGAAGCTCGTGACCCCAGGTGACCTCGGTGACCTCAAGAGGTCAACTCGGCATTGACGCCAATTGCAGCCATTCTATAACTCAGGAACTAATGGGTCGATCGCGACGAAAACACTACCAGTCGAATCAGCATATTCGATTTCATCAGTCGTTTTGAATATGGTGACCTCAGGTGAGCTCAGTGACCTCAAAAGGTCAACTTTACGTTTTCGCCTAAATTGCAGCCATTCTATAACTCAGGAACTACTGGGCCAATCGTGACGAAAACACCACCAGTCGATTCAGCGTATGCGATTTCATCAGCCGTTTTGAATATGGTGACCTCAGGTGACCTCGGTGACCTTAAAACGTCAACTTTACGTTTTCGCCTATTGCAGCCATTTTTTTTTAACTCGGGAACTACTGGGCCGATCGTGACGAAAACACCACCAGTCGAATCAGCGTATGCCTATGCGATTTCAACAGCCGTTTCGAATATGGTGACCTCAGGTGACCTCGGTGACCTTGGGAGGTCACATGACCGTTGTGGCCTATGGCAGCCATTCTATAACTCAGGAACTACTGGACCGATTGCGACGAAAACACCACCAGTCGAATCAGCCGGTATGCGATTTCATCAGCTGTTTCGAATATGGTGACCTCAGGTGACCTCGGTGACCTGGTCATGTGACCTCCCAAGGTCACCGAGGTCACCTGAGGTCACCATATTCGAAACGGCTGATGAAATCGCATACGCTGATTTGACTCGTGGTATATATTTCCGTCGCGATCGGCCCAGTAGTTCCTGAGTTATAGAATGGCTGCCATAGGCCACAACGGTCATGTGACCTCCCAAGGTCACCAAGGTCACCTGAGGTCACCATATTCGAAACGGCTGATGAAATGGCATACGATGATTCGACTGGTGGCGTTTTCGTCGCGATTGGCCCAGTAGTTCCTGAGTTATAGAATGGCTGCAATAGGCGTCAATGCCGAGTTGACCTCTTGAGGTCACTGAGGTCACTTGAGGTCACCATATTCGAAACGGCTGATGAAATCGCATACGCTGAATCGACTGGTGGTGTTTTTGTCGCGATCGGCCCAGTATTTCCTGAGTTATAGAATGGCTGCAATAGGCGAAAACGTAAAATTGACCTTTTGAGGTCACCGAGGTCACCTGAGGTCACCATATTCAAAACGGCTAATGAAATCACATATGCTGAATCGACTGGTGGTGTTTTCGTCACGATCGGCCCTGTAGTTCCTGAGTTATAGAATGGCTGCAATAGGCGAAAACGTAAAGTTGACCTTTTGAGGTCACCGAGGTCGTCTGAGGTCACCATATTCGAAACGGCTGATGATATCGCATACGCTGATTCGACTGGTGGTATTTTCGTCGCGATCGGCTGAGTAGTTCCTGAGTTATAGAATGGCTGCAATAGGCGTCAATGCCGAGTTGACCTCTTGAGGTCACCGAGGTCACCTGGGGTCACGAGCTTCGAAACGGCTGATAAGATCGTACCCCGTGATTCGAATGGTGTTTCGTTCGTTCCGATCGGTCCAGTAGTTCCTGAGTTATAGAATGGCTGCAAGGGTGGTGGTCGAATAGTGTTGTCCCCTAAAAAACTGTATCGCGCAATCGTATCGCGTACTCGTATGTGTAGTCGACTGCAGAATGATGTTCCACTCCTTAGAGGCTAATAGCTATCAGTTGACCAGAGCGCTAACTGCTAAGTTGTGTCGTTTATCACGCAATTAAGCGTGTCGATTGTGAGCATTGGGACAAAACTATAATTTGTAAACTCAGCCCGTGTGATGCGGCACAGCCTACCACTCCAGGCAAATAATTGCCTGCGCCAGTCGCCCCGTAAAATGGAAAGAGGTTCACTACAGTGACAGCGGATTTATTACGAATTAACACGAGCCGGTCCGTTCGTCGACCAGACGCGGCGGCGGTCACAGGCAGAGAGAGGGACGTAACGGAAGTTACTAATAACTCCAACTATGGCCGCCAGGTGGCGGATGCAGACAGCGCTGCAATGCGTGAACGGGGGCAACGCACATCTTCAGCTGCGGCCAACAGGTGGCACGCAGGTCGCAGATCGTCGCTCGGCGCACCAGTTGGGCACTGGTGTGGAGGCCGAGCGCCGTTCACAGACAACGCGCCACAGGCGGCACGACGAGCCACAGACGTCACCACACCTGTTAGCAGGCGCGCAACCAGAAAAATATTTCGGAGGGGGCACAGCACTAGGGGGCGCAGTTTTTGCCCAGGTGGGCGGCACCAACCTACCCCTCCAAATTTGTTTCTCCTCGGATTTCGTCCACTTGATTTGGTAAATTCATTAAAATAAAATAAAAAGATAATTTAGTGTATGAGTCCCACACAATGTGCCCGTGCCTTTCCATTGCGTGACCTAGGTCGGCGCTACACGACTCTGTGAGTGAGGGGGACGGAGACATGCGAACCAAAACTCGCTACATACGACACATGCCACATTTATGTTTCGTTAAATATTTCCTCAGACCTGCATCTCTACTACCATAGTGACAAGATACTTTTGAATGCGTACCTTCGAATGGAGGTGCCATGTCTATTGTCTATTGAGGGCGATATAGAATGATTCGAGAGCGGCAAAATTGTTTCAAAACTCGGTATCATTCCTTCCTAGGTGCAATGATATATTTGGGGGTCGATTTATAACAACTAGTAGGGCGGCAGAATGACTCCCCGCGCCCCGTAGGGGGGGGCCGAAACGCCCCCCCCCCCTGTCCTTTTTGGTCGATATCTCCTAAACGGCTGGCGATATCGCCACCAAACTTTCAGGACCCCTCTGGGCATCAATTTTACACATTGTGACCAAAATTTTTCCAGAGGCTATGATAGGTTGGCCACAAATGACGTCAGAATGACGTCATGTTCTGTCATTTTCGACCGAAAAAGACCTTCGCAAGAAGACCACTCAGGCCTATAGCTTTGAAGATACAGAAAAATGATCAAGACATAAAAGGTGTAAAATTGACAGGGCTACAAAACTGCGATCTCGGATTTTTGAAATTTTTGAGTTTTGACCCCCAAAAATCAAAAAAGATTCGGATATATTTTTGGATATATTAGCCAAAAAATCCAAAACGTTTTTTGAAGTTCGAAAAAATCGGAATATATGTGATAGTACCTACCGTCTTCTATCTCCATACCAAATATCGATACCTCGTTTTTTGGCCAAGTTATAGCGAAAAAACTTCTAAAATGGTGACGTCAAAGTTTCAAACTCAAGTTTTGGCGATTCTGGACCTCGTAGAGCAAAACAAAGAGCACCATTAGACTCCCCGTGACGAGCTGCATCGAATCGATACCCATTTTATGCAAAAATATCAACTTTGAAATTTGACCTAATTTGACCTGACCTTGACCTGACCTTAACCGAAACGTGACCTAGGCTGGCCGCAAAGACTGCCTAACCCACATAATCGCATTTGTCATGTAAAATGGACCATAAAACATGTGTCACACGACACTTTCATATTGTGACCCCGGTGACCTGACCTCGCTGTGACCTGACCTGGTATCAGTGACCTCAGATAGCAAGGTATGTATTTGACGAACAATGTACCATCGATGGTTTTCGATAAATTACCAATTTACTCGATTTCACAACACATTTCTTGAAATGCCTGTGAACGGTGAAAATTTGACCTTTGACCTGACCTGTGACGTCATCGGTTTGACCTAGGTCAATGAAATTTGGTCATAAGGTAGTTATCGGGTGGGGCTATCGAACTCCGTTTGAATTTTGAAAATCGGCCGGTAACTTTCCGAGATCTTAGGGGGGGGGGGGCCGAACCCTACGGGTGGTAGGGTCCCCCGCTAGCCCTACGGGGCGCGGGTTAATATTCCACAGGGCAACATGTTGCCAGGGGCATCTACGCGCGAAAAAAAAAGCTGGTCAAATGGTCAGACTTGCTTAGACAGGCGGCGCGAGCTCAGCCGAGGGGCGGCACATGCTTCAGAGAGCGGCACTTCATAGCTGAGGGGCGGCACTCAGTCGGAAGGGAGGGGCGGCACTCTGACAAGGGCGGCATTTTGGGGCGCACGTAAAGTAGTTCGTCTTGTATGATTGGTCTGATGACGTCGATGTCCAAGCATGTTGCTAATGAAAGGCGGCGTATTGATCACGGAGGGTGACATGACCCCTCAGAGAGCGGCATTATTCTGAGGACGGCACCTTTTGTGAAATGTATGTAAACAGTTAGAGGGCGGCGTATCGACCACAGAAGGCGGCATAACATCACAGAGGGCGGCATTGTTCTTGCTGAGGACGGAATAACGCCTTTTGTTACCTGCATGCAAGCCGTTAGAGGGCGGCGTACTTACCACGGGGGGGGCGGCATTGTTCTTTCGGAGGGCGGCATTGTTCTTTATGAGGGCAACATAATACCTTTTGTGGACTGCATGCAAGCTGCTAGCAGGTAGTGTATCGACCACAGAGGGCGGGATAACACCTCAAAGGGCTGCATTGTTCTTTCTGAGGGGGCACAACATCTTTTGTGGACTGCATGCAAGCCGTTAGAGGGTGGCATAGCGGTCACAGAGGGCGGCATAACACCTCATAAGGTGGCATTGTTCTTTCTGAGGGCGGCATAACGCCATTTCGTTGCCTGCATGCAAACCGTTGGAGGGCGGCGTACTGACCACAGAGGGCGGCATGTTACCTCAGAGGGCGGCATTACTCTTTTGTAAGGCGGCATAACGCATTTTTGGACTGCATGTAAACCGGTGGAGGGCGGTAAAACACCTCAGCGGGCGGCCTTGTTCTTTCTGAGGGCGGCATGACACTTTTGTAGACTGCATGCTCACATTTTAAAAGGATTTGCAGGCGCCTTCGGCGCCTGCAAATCCTTTTCGTGCGCAGGGGCGGCATTTGCCTCGAGGGCGCCTTCAAAGCTGACGGAGGGGGCAAATGCCCAGTGTGCCCCCCCATTGGTTGCGCCTCTGCCTGTTAGCAGGGTGTGGTGGTGCTGTGAAAAGTGGAACATAGGCGGCGGAATGGGGAGGGCACCAGGGCACCGTGCCCTCCTTTGATTTTGTCATTTTAACATTAGCCCTATGGGCGTTGCATGGAAAGAATGGGACAAAAATTTGGCAGTGCCCCTCCTTAACCCTCGCCCTGGCAGGGCATTTTTCATAACACGGCCTGGCAGGGGGGGGGGTCGATGCGACCCCCCCCCCTCGCGATTGGCTCCTATGGCACCTAGAAACACGAAATTTGGTAGGTAGGTGGGCCCCCTGGAGTTCTCGCCCCTGTGCAAATTTGATTGCTCTAGGTCAATATTTAGGGGGGTTTTGGGGGGTATAAATGTAAAAATTTCGCTAAAAATAGGTCAAAAGTATTTCGCTTATAACTTTTGATCTAATTAAGATAGAGCAAAAAGAAAAGCACCAGTGAACTCAGCACGTCAAGGCGCGTCGAATGATATACTTTTTAGCTTGCTTAAGTGTACTTAAAGTTTTTCTTAAATTTTAAGTAAACTTAAATTAATAAATTAAGTTAAAGTTAACCAAATTGCATCATATCGCAAATCATTCGATTCGGCTGATCACCAGGAACACAATGATACCATTTTTTAAGCTCTAGCGTCATTATGTGCCAAGTTATTGGCAAAAACGTCATTTGACCTCAGTTGACCTCATTTGACCTGACCCATGGATAAGTACACCAAACAAAGAAGCACCAAGTGACCTGCTGTTAAGTACTGTGGTTTCAAAGCACAAAAGTGATAGAACGAAGCGGATATCTCCAGTATTTTCCGAATTTAGTATTTTCCCATAGGCTTAACATTACGACGTAATGACCTCTAACTGACCTCAGGTCAGTGACCTCAAAAAACCCGAACTATATGTTATACAACTCGGTGAACTTAGCACATCCTGAAAGTTTGAAGGAAATCAGTGCAAAACTGTGAGTTGGACAGGTGCAAAAAGAAAACTGAAATTTGACCATGACCTTGTACCGGTTTTTCTGACCTGGTGACCTGACCCAAGGTCACCCGGACCTGAAATTTTCAGGTCGTATGTAAAAAGGTTGCCCCATAGGCTGTGCCAAATTTGGCGGCGCTGCGCGCCGCCGTTTTTACGCTATCTTCGAAAAACCTTAGGGGGGGTCGCATCGACCCCCCCCCCCTGCCAGGGCGAGGGTTAATTGAAGGTCTTCCGCCGCTACTGAAGTGGAACATCATTCTGTAGTCGACTATAGGTACTTACCTACCTACTTGCGTCTTGGATTTTTCAGATAAAAGTCACCTGCATCCAGGTCGGACCATCGGTCACTTGACTTTACCATTACCTTCAATCAAATAAATCGGGGAAATTCGGTAACGGTGTCAGCCAGAATGACGAACGTTGGCAGACAGGGACAGGCAGTGATGGACGTATAGACAGTTGCTACGGTCCGTTGAGACTCAAGGGACAGTTGCTGATCGACAGCGACAGACAAAGGTGAGTGCTAACGCCGGAGGCGATCTAACATTATCTCAAGGGCATGGAGTCGTAATTTCATATACTCCTTGCAAGGTCCGATACTTTAGTTTTGGGCACTTTGTAGGACTTTGCTTGAAGCTGAAGAGATAGGTAGATAAGACAAACCTATCACGTCATCAAAGTGATCAGAATTTTTCGTCAATAACTCCCGATCAAGTTGACCTAGCGAGTTGGAAAAGCCACACATTGACTTCAGAAGTTCTGCTGCAGCTGAATCGTGTGATGTGCGATACCTATCCATGACCTCATTCGATCAACTCTGTAACCTGAGCGGCTGTGACCTGACTGGACCTGATTCATCCTATGTTGGCCTCTTCCAAACAAAACAAAGCAAAAAATATTATTCGACACACCTGAGCGTGTCGAGCAAGGTAGTGCCAATATCGCGGCTCTTCACCTCGCTCGTTTTTTCCGCACGGCTGTTTTTTACCTCAATTAGGGTCGGAAGGGGATGGTGGGGTTTAAACTCTCGGGCGAGGCGAACCTTTGTAGGAAACCGAAAGATCCAATCGCTGTCCTGTGCCGATGAGCTCGCGGCTCGCGCAATTCCCTGTCGATGAGTCACACGTCCCAGCGCGCGGTGGCCTCACCTGCCCGGCGCGCCGCGGTCCGAGCGCCATCCTCCGTCAGCCGGTGGTCATCCCGCGAGGCCTTGGGTTCCGGGGACCGCCGCTGATCCCGGCGGCTGCAGCGTGCAGGCCGGACCGTCTCGGTACGGCGGGACCGGTCCCGCGCCGGCGGCCGGTCGGCCGTCTCCCTCTCAAGGTGGAGCGGCCCGCGGCCCGCCGGCGCCCCCGGCCCGTCAGTTGGAGCGCGACCTTCGTGCGAGAGAGGTGCGTACGGAGCGGGGAGCGACCGAGCGTGCTAGACGCGCTGAACTGTGCCATAGCTGTGTCCGAGACCTAGCCACCGAACGGAGTGCCGGTACGCTGCAGCCGGACCGCCTGCCTCGTTCTACTGCAGCTACGATTTAAGCCGTTCTCAAACCGTTCTCGGACCGCTCTGTTACCTGTACTAAGGCTGCGCTTAGGCTGTCCCAGCCTACCGCCCCTCTGTGGACTGTCCGTGCTGTGAGCTCTCTGAAAGTACCAGCAGCAGCGTCTGCCGAAGATGACCGGCCCCGTCATCTACTCGGTGTCGGACGTGAGCGACTCGCAGGCGGCTGCGCTCCGTCGCAGGTTCCTCGAGGCGGTGGAGAAGGAGGAGGTGCGAGGTGAGTCCTGATCGGCCACAGCGGCCGAACGTATCCGGTGACGTGTGGGGGCGGTGGCCGGAAACGGTGGGACGGGTGACCTACCGTGGTGTGTGGTATACCGCTGCCTACCAACCGCAATGGCCATCATGAAATTAATGATTCAGACGATTTGTATCTGTCATGAGCCTGCAAAACACATTGAATACCTAATGATGGACGCATTATTATTTACCATCAACCGAAATATTTCACGTTTTGCTTTGAATCATGATGCGAGTCTTTGACGAGTTTGAACACCATTAGCTGGTGATGTTTAATGTTATAAGGAAGGCGACACATTTTTACGGCGACACATTTCTACACGGAGTTACAGTACCGTTCGAGAAGCTTATTTTGTTCTTGCCATCATAAGCCGTCAGTTGTATTAGCTCCCAAGATTTGTGCTCTTTGTGCTCGATAAGAACCTGTACCGTTTGTGGCTGCACGACACGACTCTCGTCGACACTATGCAGTATCATGTTAATTGCAATAACAATTTTTCAACCATTCCCAGTCTCGGGTTCACGGTACCAAAAAACATTCAAGTTTTATATTGTATGAACATTGAACATAACAATGCACATCACAAGTCTCGGCAAGTGTATCCGTCGTCGAATTGACACCGGCTGCACCCTCCATTCGAGTCACTCCATCATAACGATCAGAGGGAGCACGCGTACACCATGAACGATGGACATATATATACTTGCAAAGTGTTACTTGACCTGACGTGAACAATTGAACATTTACCGATTGTAGTATGTCACCAGCGGTGACTTCAACGCTCGAATGCTCGTATGTGTGTACATACTACATACTGTGTATGCAGTCACAGTCACGGCTGGTTGGTATATTCCAGCAGCAAAGTCGTTCGTCATTGTCGTCATTGGCCAGTCCGTTTACCAGGCTCGGTGCATTCATAATTTAATCTGTTGTCTTTTACTTTGCACTATCGTGTTTATAGGCAGCTACCGTGGATGTTGTGTCGTGAGCCGACTGGCGAGACTATGCGGTTCTTGGGCAGGTTTATACTTGGCTGCGCGATCCACGATCACACGTTTACACGGATCCTACCCGGACCGTGCCGGGGGCGGCGCGCGACTCCCATCTCCCCACGTGCTGCCATCTACGCGGGCACGGTAACAATGCTGCCAAAGCAGGGGGATTTCTACCGGCGGAGGGAGTCCTGTTAACATTAACGGGCGACGCCACCACACCTTACCCTCCTTAATTAAAATGGGTGTAACCACATCAGCGTTCGGGCTTGTAACTAAACAACGCGTTAATCCCACCGGCGTACAAAAACACAACCAAAAAAAAATCCAAACATCGACCTCTACAAACAGCTGCTTTACGTCAATTTCCCCGACGCATCGCCCTCCTTAAAATCGAACGCACGGTACCATGCGAAGAGGTAACGAACATATCAGAGTGCAACGACGATAAAAAAAAACACAAGTCCAGCTTCTCAAGACACCGGGGAGTCATGGTGTGGGAACAAAAGGTCGCTGCCCCTCACTTATTCGTGGCGGTAAGGTTACAGAGAATCACACAAAGATTGGCTCACAGTATACGACCTGTTCGTTTCAATCACAGTTCCATTATAAGTCGGCGGGTTGCTTTCCGGCGCCTGCCGGACCGGCGGCCGCCGCGTGTGCTGGTCCCAGCTCCGGCGTTCACTGCTTGTGTGCCAGCAGTTACCGGCTGATCCGCCGCGCTGGCGCCGTTTCCCGTTCCCAGCTGTCTGTCTCTGTCCTCGCCGACTCTGGGCGAGTCTGGCGACCCGTCTGTTTCTGGCCGACCAGTGGTGTCGGCGCTGCTGCCGGCGTCCGTACCGGGTCTACCCTCTGCAGGAGATCGGCCGGGTGTGCAGGTGCCGCTGGCCGGTACCGGGTCGCTGCCAGTACCGCTGCTGACCGGGACCGTGCCCGTGTCCGGGCTGCTGGCCGCACCTGAGCCGCCGGCCGCCCCGGTACCGGGCCGCTGCTCGTGACGCTGCTGACCGGGACCGTGTCCGGGCTCCTGGCCGCTCCCGAACCGCTGCCGCTGACCGGTACCACCGACAGCGTCAGGCCCGCTGGCCGCGCCGCGTCCGCTGACGATGCCGTCGCCGTGAGTCGCGCCCGGCCGGCCGACTGCGCCGGGTCCGGGGACTGCACTGGGCTCGGCAGGCGTGTCGGGGTCGCGGGGCGCGCCAGCATGACGGAGCTGATCGGCGTGTCGGGACCAGATCGCGCTCCCCACGTCCACTTCGAACGACAGCGGGCCCGTCTGGGCGGTGATGACGCCCCGCCGCCACTTGGACGGTCCACCGTAGGCCCGTGTCCAGACGTGGTCTCCGATCGAGAACTGCCTGTTGTGACCTGGCCTACCGGCCTGCCACTGGCGAAGTTTTTCCTCGCGCTGCCGCACGTCCACATCCGGCTTTAGGAGGTCCAGGTTGGTTCGCACGTTCCGTCCCAGCATCATTTCCGCTGGAGACCTCCCCGTGGTCGCGTGTGGCGCCACCCGGTATGCCATCAAGAACCGCTGTAGGCGCTGAGAAAGCGTTCCTCCGTCCTTGAGTGCAGCTTTCAAGCCATTCTTTACGGTTTGCACTGCGCGCTCCGCCGCCCCGTTGCTACTTGGATGCCACGGCGCTGTCCTGATGTGCCGAATCCCATTCGAGTTCAGGAACTGGGAGAACGCAGTGGCGGTCAGCTGGGGTCCATTGTCGCTGACCACCTGGACCGGCAATCCAAACCTGGCGAACATTTCGCGCAGAACACGCACAGTGCTTTCCGTGCTGGTCTCACGCATCGGCACTGCCTCCACCCAGCGCGAGTAGCTGTCATACACTATCAGAAAGAAAGAGCCCTGGAAAGGTCCAGCGAAGTCGATGTGAACCCTGAACCAGCAGCTGTCCGTCGGTTCCCAAGGGTGAAGTTCAGCACGCGGTGGTGCCCCGCGCTTTTCCATGCAAGCCGCGCAGTCACGCGCCAGGGCCTCCAGCTCGGCGTCCATGCCCGGCCACCATACGTATCGGCGCGCCACACCTTTCATTTTGGCGCTGCCCAGGTGACCTTGGTGCAGCTCTGCCAGCACCTGTTGCCGAAGGCAGTGGGGAACCACCGTCCTGCCACCCCAGAGCAGACATCCCAGGTCCGTGGAGAGCTCATCCCGCCTCTGACGGAACGGGGCCAGCTCCTGCTCCACCTGTCCGGGCCACCCACTGTGCACGTACGTCAGGACGCGCGACAGTACCCGATCGCGGCGTGTCGCCGCCGCGAGTTGTTTGGCCGTCAGAACTGGAGCTACACCGTCCATGAACAGCAGATACGAGCCGCCGCTGGTGTCGTCCTCAGCGTCCGCTGGCTCGACCTCTCCGCCTGGCACTGCCATACGAGACAGACTGTCCGCCAGGTGCATGTCTTCTGATGGACGTAGCGGGCGCCCCGGCACCGCCATGCGGGACAGGCTGTCAGCCAGATGCATGTTCTCCGAGGGTCTCAGCTCGACGTCGTACGTGAAGGCTGCGAGCTGCAGTGCGTACCTCTGTAGTCTCGCCGCAGCGAGGGTCGGCAGCTCGCGTTCGGGACAGAGGATACGCGACAGCGCTCTGTTATCCGTGACGAGAGTCCATCGTCGGCCATAGAGGAACTGCCCGAACCGTTTGACGGCGAATGACACTGCCAGAGCCTCCTTTTCCACCATCGGGTACTTCCTCTCGGTGCCGGTGAGTGTGCGGGAGGCGTACATTATTGGGCGCTCCAGTCCTTCGCCGTCGGGCTGTGTCAGTACTGCTCCCACTCCGACCTCGCTGCTGTCCGTTACCAACTTGAGCGGCGCCTCCGGCTCGTACCGCTTGAGTACCGTGTCTCCTGCCAGGAGCTGTCTGACCTGAGTCAGCGCGTGTCGACATTCGCTGCTCCATTCCCACGGCACCCCTTTCTGCAGCAGGCGGTAGAGCGGCGCCAGCAGCGTCGACAGGTTGGGTAGCAGCCGCTGATAGTAGGTGATACTACCCAGGATGCTGCGCAGCGCCTTGACGTCCTTGGGGTCCGGCATGTCCAGCACGGCTTGGACCTTGTCCTTCACCGGCCGCAGTCCGTTCGCCGATATACACCAGCCGAGATACTGCACTTCATCGAGTCCCAGGCGGCACTTTTCTCGCTTCAGTTTGACCCCGTGCTGCTCCAGGCGAGCCAGCACTCGGTCGAGCCGCTGCGCCAGCTCCTTCCGGTCGGCGCCTGCGATGAGCAGATCGTCCTGGTACGCCACGCAGCCGTCAATTCCATCCAGGATATGGTCGATCGCTGATTGGAAAATTGAGCTGCACGCCGAGATCCCGAACGGCAGAGCGAGCATTCGGTACCTTCCTCGGTGTGTGACCACGGTCGTCATGTCACGTGACTCCTCTCCGAGCTCCAGCTGTAGGAACGCGTCCTTAAGGTCGAGTTTACAGAACTGCTGTCCTCTGACGTTCGCGAAGATGTCCTCCGGCGTTGGCGTCGGGTGCGTGGCCATCTGCAGTTGCGGATTTACCGTCAGGCGGTAGTCTCCGCACAAACGTATGCCTCCATCGGCACGCGGGACTGTCACCAGCGGAGTGCCCCATCCCAGGGCGTCGTTTGGTCCGATTTTCTCCGCTATACCGGCTTCCACCCACCGGTCCAGCTCCCGCTCCACGGCTGGTTTGAGCGCGTAGGGAGGCAGACGTACCGGCCTCGACACAGGCTGCGCGTCGGGTTTGAGGACCAGGTGCGCCTTGGTCCCTTTGATCCGCCCCGGGCGGCCATCGAACACCGGCGCGTGCCGATCACAGACCGCTTGCAGATCTGCGGCCACGCCGCCCGGTCCGACGGTCAGTACTGCAGCCTCGCCACTCGCGCTGATGTTCAGGGCCGACATCCAGTCGCGGCCCAGCAGCCGTCTCTCGCCGGGCAGGTCGACCACCACCAGTCGCAAACGGTGATCACGCCCCCGGAACCTCACCGACA